GGGAAAGAGAGAGAACAAACAAACAAAGAGAAGAAAAAAACACCCGAGATCGGCGACCACCAATCGAAAGAGGGAGAGAGAAGAAGAACCTACTACAGCTTCAAGATCAAGAAAGACAGGCGCGATCGACGAACAGAACACCCATCTATCACCTTTCGCCAAGAAGCTGAAGCAGCATCACAGAGAGAGAGAGATATTCTACAGAATTCAATTCTGCGTGTAGAGAGAAAGAGAGCAGAAGAAGAGGAAAGCAACGGCTTGCAGGCGCCAAGTTTTTTGTTGCTAATTTTCTCACCCCTTTTTTTCCATCTTTTCGTGTTACCAATCACAGGCCTCCACGTCATCACCTCTATCCTACTTTGTATAGAAGCTGCTGGGTCTGTCCCCTAATATTCCAAAACCGAAATAAAATATAACGGATAACATAATTATCATTTATTACAATTCGCAGATTTATTGCCTTTAAATCATATTGTAATGAATAAGCAAAATATAAATCATATGGTCCGTCTCATTTTCTGAACGTCTGATATTTCCACTGCATAGTCACTGTATGTGTTAGGTGGACTATATTATCGTCACGTCTCCCCTCATCGCTCAAATGATTAATTGTTGCATGGGTTTTAATTAATTACTAATCGTATTTTTAGTCAATGTTTAGCCTTGCATAATATCATAAGTAAACAATATTATATGAGAGAACACCCGGAAATTTTTTTAATTAACTTTATGTAAATTATATTATTCTAGTGACCATGGTTTCGATTAAATTCAGTGGAAATACAGACCAACTATTTTTCTTCTTTATCTTTCGTCTTTATAGTAACATGGTCTCGATTATATACATATATATATATATATATGTATCTTTATGTGTAAGCATGATAGTGACATGAAGCATGAAAATGACACGAAAAAACCAAGTATCGACATAGGAGCAACCCGTCGGCCTTGCTTCATATTTTATATTCTTTCATCTATAAATAAAATTTTTTAATCTATAATTGATAATGTTATACATATTTAGATGATTTGACCAAATGCTTTATCGCCTTTGGTAAGCGGATTTTAATTATAGAAATACTATGCAACTCAACAAGGTTTACAATATTATGATAATTGTCTATTATTTAATGATTAGCTTTATAGCTTTCAGATAATTATTTAACAAACTTATACAACATCTTAATTTAACATATAGATAAATATTTACTTAATTTTAAAATTATCTATATTTTCATATTAAATTTTAATTTTCAAACACATCTCACCCGGTATTTTTTTTAAAGAAAAGTCGATGAAAATGTATGCATATTTTTTTTCCCTTGTGACTTATTTTTGCCATGAAACAACCCCGCTATTGCAAATGATCCCATATATAAATAAACAAATGGGTAGATTCTAAGATTGTAATATGGAACCCAAGTTTGAGTGGTCTACTGGTGAGAGAAACATGTGAAGCATGCTCTCATTTTGGGTTCAAACCCAAACGTGGGGAGGGACATTCACATTGGCTTCCCCGATTCTCTGGAAGATGTAGTCGGATTAAAGGTACGGTGAACTTCAAGATTATAAAAAAAAAAATTGTAACATGAAGTAAATGTCACTTTAGATCATCATGGTTCAAATCTCGTTCCAATTATAGGAGATTTGACACTTACATTAATTTATATCATAAACTATAGACTAGTTAATATGAAGTATTCATATATTTTCCTAGTAAAGAAACTATATAAATGGAAAGTTTAAAGAAATTATATGCGAAAGGCCACATAAATAGTCGTTTTCTTGAAAGGAGCAGGCCACGTTGGTTACAAGTAAGAAGTGTCTTTCGAGGCTTTGTGAAAAGAGACAGGACCACATTCATTGGTCGTGTGTTCTTTTATGTCCTTTATAATATCCTTTTCCTTGACATATATGTATATCCTCCTTTCCTGTATTATATTTACTTATTTATTCTCGTCATGTATTTCCTTCTTCTCTTTGTGTATTTCCTAGTTCTTCTTTCTGTTAAATATTTAACATTTAACAATAAGGATACGTGGAAATAAACCATAATATCATACATTTACAATCGTGAGAACGAGAAAAATCGAATTTATTTTCGTAATAGAATCTATGGTATCTGAACAACGATTAACATTTGTTCTTTTAGATTAACACACAAACAGTCACAATATGGGCTATAAAAATTTTGAAAAAAAAAAAGATATGTGATCTAAAGATCATAATTTTTAATCTATAAAAAAATATTTTTCATTGATTTGTAATTTCGTCCATAAAAAATAGAAATATGACAATGGTATCTAATCCCATATTTTATAGAAATGGCAATTAGGTACTTTAGATCTTAATTAGATCATAATTATAAAATAAATAAAATAGTACATAATAATAATGTTCGATTAGATGGTTGGTCCATAATTGATAAAAATAATCCCAACAAATATCCGCTGCAGAAGAAGCAGGTGGAGTGAGAAAAGCTTGAAAGCTTTGAACATGGCGACTCTTCTGCAAGTTTCTGAAAAAGCTACACAATAATAGGAAGAATCTCTGACGCCCCATGACCACCAAACTTTCAAACTGCAGTCACAGATTCCGACATCGTTGATGATTCGTCTTGCGAAGAAGGAGAAGCAAGGGAACCCTTTGAAGAAGGAGAAGCCTCACCGCCGGGAGGCATGTCCTGAAGCGCCGCAAGAATCCGGCGAATGCTGACGGACCTCGCCGGACGGAAACTGTACGGCCTCTTTGTCTTCTTCTCCGAGAACAAGCTCGAGGATTTTGAGAGTATGAGATACACCAAAGCTTGAACCAGGGCAAACGCCATAGCCTTCAATAGCATCTCTCCCAATCGATTCCCGGATGAGATTCAGACGATAACTGATCAGATATTTGATGGGTCGTGACAAAAAAATGTTCTTTTTTTGTTGCAAGAGCGATGAAATGAGACAAGAGATTGAAGCTCAAGTCGCTTGTGTGCGTATATATATACATACACACACAAGGAGTTAGAGCATTACGTACTTGACTGCGCGCGTAGACGCAGAACCTACCAAGTTAGAATTTATTTTATTTTATTGGGGAACTGCAATTGAAAATTCCAAAATCTTTGAACATTATCTGGTCAAACTGACACGTCATCATCTGCTTCATTTTAGAAATAATGATCGGTAAAACCATATGGAAAAAGAGATATAATATTCAAGACTCTTGATATTAGCTCCCATCCCATGTATATATTTTAATTTCATGCTTATATAGATGGTAATTTTTGAAGAGCTAAAAAGTTCAACGTTGGAAATAATCTTAGGTAACCAATTATTTAAAAGTTAAAGATAGATATGTTAGGAATATATTATATTTGACTAGAATATTATTGGAGATTGATATTATTTAAATCTAAAATCACTATATTTATAAAGAGAGGCTTAATTATATAATACAAAAATTCTAAATGATATTGTGCATGTATGATCAATCGTATATTGTATAAGCACACGTATATGAAGATGATCAATGGTCTCAAAATTAAAAGAGGAAATGTTTATGAAAATAAAACGTGGGTATATATATATATACATATACGCATAAAACTAATAATGCGCGGACGTGGTCCATTATTGTGGTCTAACCCACCCGCCGAAAGCATAATACTATTATATTTTTTGTCACGAGGAAAAAGAAATTTAATATGATCGAACTATCAAAATGATCACCTAAAATTTTAAAATATAACGCAAAATATACGCTTCTATAGTTTGGCATGTCTTGACAATTATGAAGCGTACATACGAAGAACGTATAAATGGCGAATCTAGTGTATAAGGAGAGAAAATAAACGTAATGTTTTTTCTTATATCAAAATTTTAAATATAATGTTTCTTTATTATATATTTTGGTACCCATCAATAAAAAAAAATCGTATTAGAAAGCATAATTCTCTAAAAAAAATCTCAAAAAAATAAAGAAATTTAGATTTACCACAAAACTTTCTGAGTAAATGCTGATTTTTTTGGTTAGCCCCGACATGCTTACACGATTTTGTATCCGTAACTCATATTATATATATATATATATATATATATATATATATAGTAACACAATCTATGATGTCCGGAAAACACAACTCTTTTCACCTGTCAGAGTTAAAACTTGCTGGAGTTTTGCTGACAATTTTCCGTCAACCGCCGTCAATCCCTCGCCGACAAAACGTATCGCCCGGCCGATACATTTTCCGGCGAGATCCCTTGCGGTCGTACCGGCGCCGTCTTCGTATTTCCGGACGGGGACACGTTCTTGGCCGAGTTCTTCATCCCACGGCACAGTCTCATGTGCGAGTGCATCTTCTCCGGCTTGAACGTTTTCCCACATTGCCTGTCCGTAGGAAAGAAATATACATCGCGGCATCGTCATCGTCCCGGAAAATGTCTCGAAAGAGACAAATATTAAGTCGTGGAAAGAGAGGGAATAATTACGAGCAGATCGGCGCCATTGCAGACTTTGGTCTGCAGAACTCGATCTTCTCCTTCATCTTTAGCCCATTCCATGCCCCGTCGAAGCTTTTACTATACAAAAACATCATCTGTATCATATAACATATACTTTTACTATGGTATAATATATATTATTACAAGTAAGTGGTTTTGGTCGTACCGGGAATAGTGCTGTTGCTGTTGGTAATGGCGTCTGTCTTCATCTTCTTCCCAGCCCGAACAGGGAGGAGGAGCTTTGGAAAACCTATTCAGAGGCATCAAAACGGTGTCGTTTATGTCCAAGCCACCACAAGTCATCAGACTCCGGAGCACTTGTAGCGAAGCCCCGCTTGAATAGCTCTTGCTCCTCCTGTAACTCGCGGACGATTTCGAGGACGACACGCTCGGCCTTCCCGTCGAACCGTCACCGTCCGTCGCGTTTTTCCCGCCGCACTGATGAAAGTCGTCAGACTTTTGGAGGTTCTTTGTCCTCAGAACGCTCGTCTCTTCCTCGTTCGTTATCGACTCGTCGGTCACCGTTGTTCCTGCCGACGATCTCTGAGACCCGAAGATCGGAGATTCTTTGCAGATTCCGGAGGTGGATCTTCTCGAAGACTCCGTCGTCGAAGTCTGGTGGCTTTCATCCGCTCCGTCGCCGTTTCTTGGCCCCCAAGCTTTCTTTCCTACAGTCAGTGAATGCTCCGTATTTCAGGTAAACCCATAAGAACATATATATCGTACTTAGAAATGTCGAATGCTCGCAAAAATGAAATTTGAAAGCACACCATTGGCATTGGGTGAGGCATGGAGGATCTCAGAACCTTTAAGAACATATTCATTGTCGGAAATCGGTGTTATAAGATCATCGTCCAACAGATCTTGCCATACATAACCATTCTTGTATCTCCTGCAACACCACAATCGCATATCTCGATTCCATTATACATCCGAAATCGAAAACAAAATCTCGACAACAACGTACGTATGAACTTCAATCGAGCATCACCACCACCTCTTGTACGACCAAGAAAACGAATCTGGCATCGCGTTCCCCCTCGCATCCCCTAACCATCTCTTTACATCTGCATTCCATTTATTACCACAGTAAAAAAAAACGCAACTAATGTATACATATATACACATCGAATACGGGAGAGAATCGTAGAAACGAGCCTCGTAGGAAGACGCCGTTGGGGCTGCGATGATGAACACGCAAGAGATGAGGATGCTCGACATGTCCCGAACGGCTAAGGAAGTAAACTACGTTCACTCTTCTCACTTCTCCCTCCATATTTTTCCCCTTTTCTTTTTTGGTCGTCTTCCTCTTAATGTTTCTGTTTACAATAACTCGTAACTTTTTTATATATAAAAAAAGAGGAAAATATGATTAAATAGAGAAAAAAAATCAAGACGAAGAACAATAAAAAAAAAAAACCAAACCGGACTACTTCTCTGCTTTTCAGACACGGCACAAGATCGGACAAAACAAGTGTTTTTCCCGAGAAAATCGTATTTTTACGGACCCAAAAAAAACGGAACATACGCATAGATAGACGAAGAAAAGTGTTGCGGACTAACGGAACCGCACATTTCTCGTACGACTAGAAAGACGATGCGTCGGGTTTCGAGATCACTCCCCGTTTTTTTTTTTTTTTTTTTTTTTTTTGTAGATGTGTTTTCTTTATGATTTTTTTTTTTTTTTGGTTGGCTTTTGATGATGGAGCAGAAGAATAAAAAAAAGATTTCGATCGAAGATATTATTTGGGAGATTTATGGTTTGGCGTTTATGTAAAAATAGAAAGAAGAGAAAGTCTTGCTTTGCTGATTTATCGTGATTATTAACTTGACATATTTATCGCATTTAAATACGTGTGTATATATATATATATATGCAAATATTACAAATGGACATAAAGTTAGATATATACCGATATTTTGTAGATATTCATTGCCTCGTTCAAACCATATGGAAAAAGAAATCTATAAAAAATTCTATATATAGGCCTAATATGGTGGAAATTTTGTGATACCTTAATATATTAAATATCCTTTTACACCTGCCAAAAAATTATATCCTTTAATACAAATGATTTATTAATTGCATAGGCTTGCCTTTTGACCGCAGGTTACGACTTCCAAAACGGGACCAATCTTTTCAATAACCCAATTAAACTTATTTTCGTGGGCAAAGAACGATAAGATCAAAGAAACCTGCTGTTAGGGTGGGCGTTTCGGGTTCAGGATGGAATAGATCGGTTCGGTTCTTTCGATTTTACAAAAATAGGTATCAATTGGGTTTTTTATTATATTCGGTTCGGTTTGGTTTCGGTATCGGTTCGGTTTGATTCCGGGTTTTATTAAAAAAATGTTAGATTTCCTTTAAAAATATTCGTTTTTTCGGGATTTTTAAAGTTCGGTTCAGTTCTTTCGGTTTTACAAAAATAGGTATCAATTGGGTTTTTTATTATATTCGGTTCGGTTTGGTTTCGGTTTGGTTTCGGTATCGGTTCGGTTTGATTCCGGGTTTTATTAAAAAAATGTTAGATTTCCTTTAAAAATATTCGTTTTTTCGGGATTTTTAAAGTTCGGTTCAGTTCGGTTCTGGAAAAATTCGGTTCTTTAAAAATGGTTCGGAAAATGACAGCGATTTCGGGTCAGGAAAAATACCGTTTTAACGGTTCACTTGGTCCGGTTCCGAAGAAGCGAACCGAAACGCCCTGCCGTATTTAACCACCGAATAAATAAGTTTTTTATGCAATCTATATGTATATATATATAATTACGAACATTTTAAGCTTATAAGGTCTATAAAATTAAGATACAAAACCGTTGGGTGCCTTTTTTCTCTCTAATATTAATATTAAGATTACTAATTATATAATCCCCCACTACATCCGCAGTGTTTACGAGTTAATTATATATACATTAACTAACTAGACGCTATTTTTATAGAATAATCTTCCTAAATAATTATACAGGAATTAAACAGCTTCAGCGAAAAAAGACAAAACCAATCTTTTGATTTTAGAACTTTATTAAAAGAAAACTACTATATATATATATATATTCATTATTTGGTTAATAAAATAAAATACAAATAATTATCTTACAATAGATGATACTGCATGCATGTTCAGCGAACCCTAGGAGAAGAGAAATTATAATTATGACAATGAAATTTTCTGCAAAATAAAGAAAAACTCAATTGAGAGTTTACATTTATATTATTGGATTTGGATCTGTTTGAAAAAGGAAAATTTCTATTTTTAGCAAAAAATCGTCGATCAACATACCTTTCTGTCCGAAGGTTAATTATTTTTCATTTTTTTAAATATCTGTAATAAAAAAGCCTGTTTTTTATGGAGATTTCAACCAATCATATGTTTTACCTTGCAATAAAAGTTACAATTATAGCTGAAAAGTCTACGGTCCACAATAATATATTCAAAATACAATATTTGAGAAATTTCTCCAAAGTGCTGGGATTATAACATCCAAGAAACATAACTAAATGTGAGTGTTTTCTTTTTTAAAATTTCGCCAGAGAAAAACTCTTCACTTGTGAATGGCGAACTTGTATTCTTCTTCTTCGTCATCTTCATCGTATATAGACTTCATGAACGGCTCTGCATCACGCGGAGTCTTCACCGGTTCTTTCTCGTCCCCTTCTCCGTCGCCGCCTCCGTCGGCCGCCGCCGCAGCCGCAACCCGACCATGCCGGTTCGTGGCGGAGTATTGCTGAATGACAAGAACCGAAGCGTGCATGGTGAATTTGGAAGAAGCGAGCGTGTCCCCTATGCTCCCTAGCTCAGGACTGCTGCTCCAATCCGTCAAACCATCCGTCACGGGAGAATTATCGTTGCATCCCCTTCCGACAATGTAGAGATCGTACGAGTGTCTGTCTTCCATCTCTCGTATCGTCGCTATCGTGCCCTGTCCGTCGTTGACTACCTTTTCGATGTAAGTCACGGAAGAGTCGTCCGTGGTCTTGAAGTTGAACTCGTATATGCACTCGTCGTCCACCTGTTTCTCCTTTTCGTAAGCTACTGCGGCCTTCCCGGCCAACACCAACGCGTCCCGGCCAGGGACGAATCTCAGGAGAGTGAGTTTGACCGTGTCTTGACCGACCATTCTCCAAGCGTAGGACAAGGCCTCTCGGTCGTCGGCTCCGCCCACGAAGAGCATCGCTACCTGGGTCTTCGGGGGCAATGCCGGAAATGACTCGGTCCGAACCATGCCCATGCCACGGTCCACTAATATCCCAACCGAGCAAGGCGCGTGGTTTAGCACGTTTTGGTTGATATCGGCATGAGAGGCGTTCCCCTCGCCCATTCGACCATCTGATGTCATTTGCTTGTGGTATGGCAATATGATGAAGCACACACGTTTGTCCTCGGCAAGCGCACATATGTCCTCGTGCATCGTCGTGTAAGGAGACACGGCCGTGATGGTCTGGACCATAACCCCATCGTCATGCAACTCCAAAGTCTCGAATGACTCAGCAATCTGGTCGGACTGAGCTCTGACACGGTCGGAGAAGTTGGCCTTGGGCTTGCATTCATCGTTCATGATGAGCATGGAGGCCGTGGTCCGTCCCGTCAGCTCCACGAGATGGATGGCGAAGACGTTGAGAGGCGATTGCTTCCTCCGGTGCGAGGTTTGCAAGAGATTGGTTATTCCAAAGACGTTGGGAAGGGCATGGACGCACGCCATGACACGGAACTCTGTCTCTCCTTTGACTCTCTGAATCGTACGGTGCTTGTAATGGACCAACGGCTTCTTGGGTTTATACGCAAAGGCAAGAAGTGGTTCCACTATCAGCGACATCACCAGAAACACGACGGTCATGTGAGTGTACATCGGACTATCCAACGCCTGCATGCATGCATACGTAACTCACCTTGAGTTATCAGAAAAATAGCTCGTATATATGTCAGATTCGGACAAAGCCGAGGAATGTCTTAAAAACCATACCTTGGTGTCACGACCGGCGTTGAGGACCACGAGTGCTAAAATTCCCTTAGTGTTCATAAGACAGCCGAGAGCCAGAGCATCTCTGGCGGGCATTCGCATGAACAAGGAGACAATGACTGTTGTCAGAATCTTCAAGGAAAACGATGAGGTAATAACCACAGCCATAATCACGGGATCAGTGAACGCAAGCATGTACTGTAAATCGGCTCTTAACCCGCAAATGATGTAGAAAAGAGGCATCAAGATCCCGGAGAGGAAGTCATGAAGCTTCTCTTCGATCATGTTTCTGATGAGATGGTCGTGAGGGATGGAGAGGCCGAAGAGGAAGGCCCCTGTGATGGAGTGTGTGCCGCAAGCATCGGTGACGAGGCCGCAGAAAACGACGCCCGAGAGGATGAACCAGATGTGGCTGTCGGCTGTATGGCCTGTTTTCGCAGTTCTCGAGAAGAACCAGGCGATGGTGGGTCGGATCACGAATATGCAGAAGAGGGCGAAGCCTCCGGTGGAAAGGAGGACGAAGGGCATCATCTTGTTCAACGTTCCTGTTTTTCAAAAGTTTTGCGTGAAGGGGATGCATCAAAGAAGAGGGAAGAATCAAAATCAAACCATCTTGGGGATCTTACCAGCTTTACTGAAGACAGAGAATCCCAAAACAAGAAGAACCCAGGTGCAGACATCGGTAACAATGGCCGAAGACATCGCTATCTTTCCCATGTCGGTTCGGAGCAGCTTAAGATCGGCAAGAATCCGAGCGAGATCAGGGAAGTTGGTGCAAGAAAGAGCCACGGCCCAGAAGACAGAACCTGCGAGAATCTTGTCTTCGGCACCGTTTCCGGGCAAGAAGTAGAGAATGATGCCGACGGGTAAGGAGACAAGGAGACCGGCGGCGGCGATGACGAGGGGCTTGAGCTCGGTCAGTCTGACCATGCGAAGGTCCATACCGAGTCCGAGGAGGAAGATGTTGTAGACGAGAGCCAAGTTGGCAAAGGTCTCGAGGATCATAGTGAATCTGTACGGGAATACGTACTGAATGATGAACCCTTTGTTCCCTAACACGCTCGGGCTGTACAGCAAACCGCACTGCGCCATGACACAGTAGAAAGAAGCTATCAACAATCAGACACGAACATAACAGTTGAAACGGGACTTTGACCAAACCGAGTCAACAGAAATTTACGAGCTTTCCGAACCCAAAACCATGACGACAACTTCGGGACGAAACCCAGAAACTTCAATAGGAGCAAGACTGATGTCGGATATTCTCAAGAATTCAAGATATCAGATTCGAATCCACCCTTATGATATATATATACATACGTCTTGTTCTCGATTACGACTTACCAGGATTTGAGCCACGAAAGGAGGTAGATAGAGGGGTCGGGTCAAGTAGTAGATAACGCGATAGCTAAGATTGGACACCAAGAGCTGCGTTACGAGGAAAGGGAGAGCGGAAGCCATGGTGCTCCCGCTCTCCCACGCCTTCTGCTCTCTCTTCTCGAACAGAAATTCTTGCGGGTAACACACGATTTTCCCGTAACGCGACTCGTCCACCACATAACTCACGTTCGTCCTCGTCGTGTTAATGACCATATTCCGACACCCGTACGGTTATCTTTTTTTTTTTCCGGCGGAGCTATGTACGGACCGTACGGCGGCCGGAGTCTGCGTGCAGAGATCGGAGTTGTTTCTTGTTAATGACAGATTAAAATTGTTGTCGGAGCAAGTGTTTGTACGTTGTGTTCATGTGTTAATTAGGTTAAAAAAAACTCATAACGAATTACAGTTTTTTTTCTTCGTTCTATTTATAGATCTAATAGATTTCAAACCACTTATAGCTGTTTTCGTATTTTGGTCTTAATTTGGAGTAAACATTATAACAGTACCATGTTTGAATATGAACTGTTTTGGGTTTGGTCCACGTGGACGTAAATTTGAACCAAATCACGATAGATTTTTTTTTTTGTTGGTTTATCCTATTCGATTTATTTTTTAAATAAATTAACCTGTAAGAAATACAGTTTATAAACATTTATTTTTTTTTGGGAAAACTTGTACTGTATTTCCAAATTTAAAGGCATTTAATATGGCGCGAGTAACACGTAACATGTCTCATGTTTCAAACGTGGATAAGGTCAAAGTTGACCGATTGGCTATTCCAGGCTCCAAGAATACAAACGTAATATTTATAAATTTGTATGAGTTGGACTTTTTTTTTCCGTGAGTATCCGGAAAAAAACTAAAATTCTCCGATATTTACTAAATATTAAAGTGTGATTCAAATTTATCTGACGTTATAAAAATATTTTTTGGTACTTATTACGAAATTACCTTTGATTTTTTAATTCATATTTCAATATCCAGCAAAATTTCAGTTTATTTTATTAATTAAAAGTTGTAAGATTGCAAACATACTCTTGGTCTTTTCTTAAAATTACGAATCTATCTTATTTTCTTAAAGTTACAAAAATAGTCACGATATTTACTTTAATCTCTAAAATTATCACTGGCTGCTTACAAAATGGTATTAAATTAATGTGGGATGCATGGGAGTACGAAACGGTTCGAGAATACTAAGAATACTAATTGATTAACAATTACAAGGTCGAAATCTATGAAACCTGTACGCTGATAGATTTCAGATTATATATATATATATAAACAAATATAAATTTTATATAAAAAAAATCTACCTAAAAAACAACAAGTACTTTCCACCGGCATAAACGCTTTTCACTTGCGAACGCCGATTCTGTAATCTTCGTCGTCGTCATCCTCTTCGTCATTGTGCATAGTCTTCATAAACGGCTCTGCATCACGAGAGCTCTTATCCGTTTCCTTATCCTTCCCTTCTCCTCCGGCAGCCATGGCCGCCGCCGCCGCCGCTTGCCGGTTCACGGAGGAGTATTGCTGAATCACGAGAACCGAAGCGTGCATGGTGAAATTCGACGCAGCGAGTGTGTCCCCTATCGTTCCTAGCTCAGGACTGCTGCTCCAATCCGTCAAACCCACCGTCACCGGGGAATCCACGTTGTATCCTCTTCCGACAACGTAGAGATCGCACGACTGGTTGTCTTCCATCTCTCGTATCATCGAGACCGTGTCTTGTCCGTCGTTCACGACTTTTTCGATGAAAGTGACGGAGGGGTCGTTCATGGTCTTGAAGTTGAACTCGTATATGCACTCGTCGTCCACCTGTTTCTCCTTTGAGTACGACCCAGCTGATTTCCCGGCCGAGGCCAACGCGTCATTCCCCGGGACGAATCTTACGACCGTGAGTCTGATCATGTGCTGTCCGACCATTCTCCAAGCATAAGACAAGGCCTCTCGGTCATCCGCCCCACCCACGAAGAGCATGGCTATGTGTCTCGTTGTGGGCTCGCCATGGACCGAGTCGGATCGTACCATTCCCATTCCACGGTCCACGAGAATCCCGACCGAGCAAGGCGCGTTGTTCAGCACGTTTTGGTTGATATCAGCATGAGAAGCATTCCCTTCCCCCATCCGACCATCTGCTGTCAGATGCCTATGATACGGTAATATAATGAAGCAAACACGCTTGTCCTCCGCTAACGCGCAGATGTCCTCGTGCATTGTCGCGTAAGGCGACACCGCTGTGATGGTCTGAACCATCATCGCGTCGTTATGAACCTCCAAGGCCTCGAAGGATTCCGCAATCTGTTCTGACTCAGCCCTGACACGGTCAGAGAAGTTGGCTTTGGGTTTGCATTCGTCGTTCATGATGAGCATAGAGGCCGTGGTTCGGCCTGTGAGCTCCACGAGATGGATCGCGAAGACGGTGAGAGGGGATTGCTTCGTCGGGTTGGAGGCTCGCAATAGATTGGTGATTCCAAAGACGTTGGGAAGGACATGAACGCATGTCAGGACACGAAACTCGGACTCTCCTTTGATTTTCTCAACCGTTCGGTGCTTGTAATGTGCCGCCTTCTTCTTTGGTCTGTACGTTAAGGCGAGGAGTGGCTCCACGATTAGCGACATCACCAATAACACAACCGTCATGTGTGTATACATCGGACTGTCCAGAGCCTGCACTCGTGCATATGTCAACATCAAGATTCCTTTCTTTTTTCCGGATCTGGATCATTTTCGAAACGAATTCAGACATATACATATACATAATACATATTATACCTTAGTGTCACGACCGGCATTGAGGACAACAAGAGACAAAGTGCCTTTGGTGTTCATAAGAGCACCGAGAGCCAAGGAATCTCTCACGGGCATCGGCATGAAGAACGAGACGGCGAACGTCGTGACGATCTTCACCATGAATGACGATACCATGACCACGACCATCGTCAATTGATTTGTGAACTGGAACATGTACCGCAAATCGGATCTTAACCCACAAGTGACGTAGAAAAGAGGCATCAAGATCCCGGAGAGGAAGTCATGGAGCTTCTCCTCGATCGTGTTTCTGACGACATGGTCATGAGGGATAGAGAGACCAAACAGGAAGGCTCCGGTGATGGAATGTGCACCGCAAGCATCGGTGATGAGGCCACAGAGGACGACGCCACCGAGGATGAACCAGACGTGGGTGTCTCCGATATGGCCTCCTTTCATTGTCTTGGAGAAAGCCCACGCGAGTAAGGGTTGGATCACGAATATGGACAAGAGGACGAAGCCTCCTGTCGAGAGGATCACAAATGGCATCATTTTGTTAAATTCTCCTGTTTCATGTGTAAGGAAAAGTGCTTTGGTTAGCTTTTTTTTCTCCTTCCATTGGAACAGATTAGTTGTGAGAAACATCAAATGATACCTGTTTTACTGAAAGCGGCGAATCCAAGAACCAGGAGAACCCAAGTGGACATATCGGTAATAATGGATGCAGACATGGCAGTTCTTCCGACATCTGAGCGGAGAAGCTTAAGATCCGCAAGAATCCTGGCAAGATCAGGGAAGTTTGTGCAGGACATGGCCACCGACCAGAAGACACAACCGGCCAGGACCTTGTCTGAAACACCGTTTCCAGGCAAAAAGTAGAGGACAATGCCGAGTGGTAATGAGGCGACCAGGCCAACAATGGCGATGACCAGAGGTTTTAACTCGGTGAACCTCACCATCCTGAGTTCCATTCCGAGTCCAAGAAGGAAAATGTTGTACACAAGAGCCAAATTCGCAAAGGTCTCGAGAACCAATGTGTATCTGTAAGGGAATACGTATTTGACGATGAACTCCGTATCTCCAAACACGCTCGGGCTGAACAACAAACCGCACTGCAACCATTACAACGACCAATGATCAATAATCAAGAACCTAAACCCTAACAAAGAAGTGAAAAACGAGAATGATCTGGTCCGAACCCATTAATCAACACAAAGCTACGGTCTTGATTCTGAACTCACCAAGATCTGAGCCACAAACGGAGGTAGATACAGAGGCCGAGTCAAATAGTAGAGGACTCGGTAGGTAAAATTAGCGATTAAGAGCTGAGTGATGAAGAATGGGAGAGCGGAAGACATCGTGCTTCCGCTCTGCCATCCCTTGAGATCTCTGTTCTGGAACAAGTACTTTTCTTCATAACATACGACTTTGCCGTAACGTGAAACATCGACTATGGAATAAGTCACGTTTTCCTCCTTATGCACCTCTGCAGACATTTTCTTCTTCTTCCTCCTCTTATTATCCTCGTTCCTCCGTACGTACGGACGTAAGTACGGACAGAATCACAGCGTACGGAGGCTTAGGTTAAATCTGGTCTGGTGATTGTATTCTTTGGTTTTGGGGAAGGTGGGGTTATTGATATGCACAAAGAGCAACCGTTGGTTTTAGTTGCATGAGTTATTGTCGTTTAACACTAACAACCAGTCATGGTTTTGTTTCTTACTAATTATAACTTGTGCTTAGCGCGTGTGGGAACGTTAACACTAATTTTAGATGGTTTTTTTCTTCCGAAATGGGTGATTATTTATGTTTACAGTTTGGCTTCCTAACAGCTGCTAATTTAAAATTGTATTCTTTTATCCGGTTTCCTGTTGCAAGTTTTAATTATTTCAATCCAATATATATATATATATATATATATATATATTCCAAGTCAATTTTGCAGGGCTCGATCAGCTTCTTGACAAGTACATTAACTGCTCAAGATGCAGTGAGACATCACCAACTTAAAGGTCTTGTAATAAAATAAAAAGATATATGAAGGGTCAACTTACAAGATTGGAGGAGCATGCTGAGTTCTGAATATTTCGACTTCAAATGCACACTGAAATCTGATCGTAGAAGAAAACTTGTATCTGACTGTTAAATATTGACAGTAAAATGAATATAATGTAAAGGGTAAAAAAAAACATGAGCTTGCACATGTAATCATCATTGATGAAAAGAAGCGACAGACAATGATGCTGTGGGAATATTCAACTCCTGCAAAAGGTGTGTGTAAAACTATATAATAAACTGTATAATTTACTAAAATAAACAGAGGATAGAGTATACAAAGAAAAGAAAAGAGAGAAAAAAAGCTGGATTGGAAAGGAAGCAGCCTTAGCTGTTTTGGTCCCTCCAGAAACGATTTAGCTTCTTTCTACCAAAATGGACCAACTTTCAGGCACCGGCCTTAGCCGAGGAATCTGGACCGCCCATAAAGAAAAAGGATACAGAAGAACACGAAAACCTTGGAAAGCTGTAGCTTTTACATGGGGTTTGGACAAGTATGAAGTGTTCATCATTGATGACGACTCCCATAGAATCTCTAGATTGTCCTCTTCCTACCCTTTCTCAGGTTCCGACTTCTGGTAACTATGGCAGTTTGGTTCCTGCAATAATGGAAAGAACACAAAGGGCATTAATGTCTTTGAAGAAAAAGAATGGCATGCTTGATACTTTTTTTTGTGTGTGTCATCAAAAACTCACAGCTAACAATACCTGGCCATTGCCGGCCCCCCGGGGCCGATCCATTGCCAAAAAGTTGGCGCAGATGCAAATATCAAATTGTAAAGCAGTCAACTTTAGAATTCTAAAAGCAGCTATTCATATTTACCTACGAGGACCCATTTGCTCAAAAGGAAGCTGCAAAAAAGCTTGAAAGACAACATGTTGTGACCTTGCACCAACTGTTTCTGATCCAATGTTCAGAAAATCAGAAACTATGTAGACCAGAAACAAGATCACATCTGAACCTGTACTGATGCCGCCATTTCTGCATTTTGATCTCTGAACCAGAAGAAAAGGTGAGACATCGGTGGGGTACCATTTCCTGTATTTTTCTTGGCTTCAGAGTCACCTTTTCTTTGCTTCTACGCTTAAGAGTTCTCCCAAACTTTTCCATTTCTTTGAAACACCTCTCATCCCTCTCATCTCTCTCCCTCAAGGGGACTCTTCTTTCTCTCTGTTCTGCTGTCAAGCTCTACCTCCCTCTCCGCCCCGCAGAAGAAGACCTTCACCTGCTGCAGATTCCAAGTGTAAAAACTCGCAAGAACACAAGCCATGGTAAGCCCCCTATCATCTTCTGTTGCATACACTAACTTCTATACTGAACTGCTGAAATGGTTGTTTGATGAATGATGTCAGGGGACACCTGTAAATATCACACTCGGGTCACACGTCTGGGCTGAGCATCCTGAAGATGCTTGGATTGAAGGCCAAGTGACAGAAATTAAAGGCATCGATGTCACCATAGTCACTACGAATGGGAACACTGTGAGCAGTTATTTTCCTTTTTTTTCTTTGTCCGATCTAGCATGAAGTAGGAATCATCATTATACTCAATCTAGAACACCGAGAAAAATTTTACTCAAACCCAATCTCATTCCATACAGTTTCAAAAAGAACCAAAGATAATGGGAAGGATTTTGATATGCTATGAACCGCTGGAGCAAAAATAAGGTGGACAATGAATGAATAAAAGACTGACATCAACATCCAGAATACTTGTAGACAGAATGCACTAACATAGGGTGCTCACCTCAATTCCAGATCGTTGCAAATATTTCCAGTATCCACCCAAAAGATACAGAGGCGCCGCCCGCTGGAGTTGATGACATGACCAAATTGGCTTACCTCCATGAGCCAGGGGTCCTCCACAATCTTGCTTGCCGGTTTGCTTTAAACGAGATATATGTAAGATGGACGTCGTGTATGGGACCTTATCATATTCTGCAGCTTTGAACATGGAATTGATTAAACGCTTAAAAGTTTCTTTTAAAGATATCTGATTGCAAATCTTGGATAGAGCAGACTTACACCGGAAACATCCTGATCGCGGTGAATCCATTCCAAAGACTGCCACATTTGTATAGCGTCCATATGATGGAGCAGTATAAAGGAGCTGCATTTGGAGAGCTAAGTCCGCATCTGTTTGCCGTTGCAGACACTAGTTACAGGTACATGATTTTTACTGTAAAAGGAAGGTAATTAAGCAGTTATGGCAAAATCAAAGTTAACCAGAAGCTTCCTTTACCAGGGCAATGATAAATGAGAACAGAAGCCAGTCTATACTGGTTAGTGGAGAGAGTGGAGCTGGAAAAACCGAGACAACCAAGATGCTCATGAGATATCTTGCATTCATGGGAGGAAAATCAGATACCGAAGGAAGAAGCGTTGAGCAACAGGTTTTGGAGGTGAGTTTAGTACTGCGCTTGCCATTTCTGATTCACCTGCTTCAATCAATTGATCCCAGCATTCTATTTCTGTCAGTCCAATCCAGTTTTGGAAGCCTTTGGGAACGCCAAGACTGTGAAAAACAACAATTCAAGGTAGTGTCTGAGACACTCTTCACACATGCAGCAGTTACTGGTCTCTTCATTTAGGTTGTTAATAGTAACTCTTTTGGTATACATCAGTCGATTTGGAAAATTCGTGGAGATCCAATTCGACAAGCATGGAAAAATTTCTGGAGCTGCAATTCGAACTTATCTTCTGGAACGATCAAGGGTTTGCCAAGTTTCAGACCCTGAAAGAAATTATCACTGCTTTTACATGCTCTGTTCAGCACCACCAGAGGTTGTCTTCAGTTTATATATCCCAAAAGCAACAGAGCCAGAAAAACCTGTCCATAGAACAATCACAATATCAAACTGTTTGCCTTTTCAGGATGTCAAGAAATTCAAATTAGGTGATCCAAGGGCATTCCATTATCTAAATCAAACAAACTGCTATGATGTCGCCAATGTGGATGATGCAAGAGAGTACTTGGAGACCAGAAATGCGATGGACATTGTGGGAATCGGACCACAAGAGCAGGTGTGACACTTTCCAAAATATAAATGATGCAAAAAAGATAATGATATAGCTTTTGACCAATGTCAAGTAACAACAGATATTTATCGCTGTAGGATGCTATATTCAGAGTTGTAGCAGCAATCCTCCATCTTGGAAATGTCGAGTTTGTTAAAGGGGAAGAAGTTGATTCTTCAAAACTGAAGGATGATAAATCAAAATATCATCTTCAAACAGCAGCAGAGTTACTGATGTATGTGGTTCTTGCAAATCCCAATTACCGAATAAAGAATTTTGCACATGTTTCAATGACGATTTGAAAATTTCCAAATTGTTCACCTTTGCAGGTGTGATGAGAAGATGTTGGAGGATTCACTCTGTAAACGCGTCATAGTAACTCCAGATGGTAACATCACAAAGCCACTTGACCCAGGTTCAGCTGCTCTAAGTCGTGATGCTTTAGCCAAGACAGTATACTCCAGGCTGTTTGACTGGTAAGTAACTCTAAACCCTGAAACAAAAATGGAATTCTCAAAGACCATCAAGCAGTAACAACTCTGTTATCCACATGAATCCTAATTTCTGAGAACATGGATAAAGGTTTTGAATTTGGGATCCAGGTCTATAGAAAATAACAGCAAACAGATCAGAGTGAGGAACTGAGAACATGTTTAGCATACTTTCCTTTAGGACTTTGCCTAAATGAGCATATCTCAGTTTGATCCTTTCCGAACTAAGCGAGGAAACTTAAACTATTGCAGGATTGTAGATAAGATCAACAGTTCAATTGGTCAAGACCCAAATGCTGCAAGTTTGATTGGAGTCCTCGACATTTATGGTTTTGAGAGCTTTAAGATCAACAGGTATACCATGGTAGTCATGAAAAATATGTTGCATGCAGTAAGGAAGATCTGATACTGCCCTTTATTTGATAGTTTTGAGCAGCTATGCATCAATCTCACAAATGAGAAATTACAACAACACTTTAACCAGGTAAGAAATAATATCTGAACGTCAAATACAAAAAATATGTTGCAAACAATTTATCCAAGGAAATTTTTTCCTGCAGCACGTATTCAAGATGGAGCAGGAAGATTACACGAGAGAGGAAATAGACTGGAGCTATGTTGAATTTGTTGATAACCAGGATGTCTTAGATCTTATTGAGAAGGTATGATCTCAGACACTAACATCATAGATCAGGATGACGTGGATAAACTACTACAGAAAATTGATGACATCTTTGATGCAGAAACCTGGAGGTATAATTGCTCTACTTGATGAAGCATGGTAAGTGCATCAACATGCATATGCTGTGGATAAAATCATATGAAACTCACTTAATATTTGTATACAGTCTGACCGACAATCTAACCACTAGGTAACTAAGTGGTATACTAGGATGATAGCAAAAAGCAAATCAAATAAATAAATAGATTATGCAGAAATCTGTCCACTATCCCAACCTGTTGGCATATGCATAAGGTTCTTCATCCCTGCAGCATGTTCCCCAAGTCGACTCATGAGACATTCGCACAGAAAATGTATCAAACATATAAAGGACACAAGCGATTCAGCAAACCAAAGCTTGCCCGGACAGACTTCACCATCAACCATTATGCAGGAGATGTAAGATAGATAAAGCAGTTAGATGCTTAGCAAATGTAGGTACAAAAGCTAGTAGTTAAACAAGCTTTTTTACCTCAGGTTACTTACCAAGCAGATCAATTTCTCGACAAGAACAAGGATTATGTTGTAGCAGAACATCAAGCTTTGTTAAATGCATCAAAGTGCTTTTTTGTTGCCAATTTGTTTCCACCACTTCCCGAGGAGGCATCAAAGCAGTCCAAGTTTTCATCCATAGGGACCCGCTTCAAGGTTAGCAATACAATTCTCTAGAAAAGGAAGCAATCGATTTGCACATTTCTAAGGTATATTGATTCATTGCTGTACTAATTATACGTCCAGCAACAACTCCAATCTTTAATGGAAACACTGAACACAACAGAGCCCCACTATATTAGATGTGTGAAGCCAAATACAGTCCTAAAGCCTGGGATTTTCGAGAACTACAATGTCCTAAACCAACTAAGATGTGGGGTAAGCTAAGTCTGAAGTTCATGTAAACAAATTCACGTCTTTCAAGAAAATCTTTTCTTTAAGTTAATCTGGATATCTGGACAGGGTGTGCTAGAGGCAATAAGGATCAGTTGTGCTGGCTATCCAACAAAACGAACATTTGACGAGTTCCTTGATCGTTTTGCAATGCTTGCAGCATATGTTCCTGATGGGTATTATTAACTATCCTACCAATAGTTTCTTTTCTTTAAACTTCACCGTAAAGATATAGTCTCTATGGACAGACTACTTAGACATATAAGTCATGAAAAAACATATATTGCTGTAGGATAGGTAAAAGCTACGAAAAGATGTGTGATGTTATGGTTATGCACTTTAACTGATCTGGAATATGTATCATAACTTCAATCTTAGTCTTGTCAGAGGCAATCAACACTGACAAACATAATTATATATGGGCAGATCCGACGAAAAGTCAGCATGTGCTGTCATCTGCGACAAAATGGGGTTAAAAGGCTACCAGGTATGTCTATCACAGTGGTTAGCAAAATATCTGCTACAGACAATCTAAACTTGCATTTTGATTGGCCATCTACAGATAGGGAAAACAAAGATATTTCTTAGGGCCGGACAGATGGCCGAATTGGATGCCAGAAGAGCTGAGATTTTGGCTGGTGCAACTAAACGCATTCAGAGGCAGATCCGAACTTATTTAACGAGAAAACAATTCCTTGCCCAGAAAAGGGCTGCGATTCATATGCAAAAACTATGGAGAGGTTTCATTCTTCTACCTATGACAACATTCTAGAAAGAACTTAAAAATATATATATCAATAAGGCATTAGTATTAACATATAAGCAGGCCACATTTAGCGCATGATACATCACAAACTAATCCAAAATTCAACCAGGCATGAAATGTTATTCGCATCCACTTAGTATTATCTCTATTGCTTGTACAGCACAACTTGCCCGCAAGTTGTATGAAAACATGCGAAGGGAAGCTGCTTCTATTTGTATACAAAAGAACATCAGAGCTCACAGAGCAAGGACGTGCTACACTAAATTACAGGCCTCGGCAACAGTTATCCAGACTGGTTTACGGGCAATGGCTGCTCGAAACGAACATAGACACAGAAGAAGAACTAAGGCAGCTATTATAATTCAGGTATTTGAGTCTGAATTAGCCTATTTCTCAATTTGAATCAGGATATCAGAAGTTTCTCGGTTAGCTAATAACTAATCCTCCAAATTATCACATTTCACTAAGGATGCATCAAACAAGGTAATTACATATTAACTATAAAGTGCTCTAAGATGATGAATGATGACATAAGGCAAAAATGTTCTTATATATCGGAAGACCGTATGTGCATTTAGGCACAGCACTAATGTAGATAGGACAAGGGGATGAGTTACCTAGACTGTCATGATTGATACTTATAGATATTTCCTTTTACAGAGAGAATGGAGAAGACATGAAGCTCTTGTAGCTTATAAGCAGCACAAAAAGGCAACACTTGCATTACAATGTCTTTGGAGAGCTAGAGTAGCCAGGAAAGAGCTCCGAAAGCTCAGGATGGTGAGTTGTTACTTTCATTTAGAAAAAAAAGCCAATTAATGTCATTGCTCACGTAACAATGCATCTACTGTCGTCAAAGTGAGATATAGTGTGTGGTCTGAGAATGGATTCTTTTTTCTCCCAAACACAGGCTGCAAGAGAAACAGGGGCACTAAAGGAAGCCAAGGACAAGTTGGAGAAGCGTGTAGAAGAGCTAACCTGGCGGCTCGATTTTGAGAAGCACCTAAGGGTAATTTTCCACTAAATCAGATGTTAATTTTAAGTTTCAGCTACTAAATGCCATAGATGACAATATCCCAAGACTGAGAGTGCATAATTCCCATGGAAAAGCCTAGGAACATATATAGCTCAAATGACCTATAGGAAACTCTTTGCAGGTGGATCTTGAAGAAGCCAAAGCACAAGAAATAGCAAACCTACAACATGCTTTGACTGAAATGCAAGAGAAGCTAGATGAAAGCCAAGCTGCGATCATCCGAGAGAAAGAAGCAGCAAAATTAGCTATTGAACAAGCTCTTCCAGTCATCAAAGAAGTGCCGGTGTTTGACAATACCCAATTGGAATTATTGAAAAGTCAAAATGGGGAACTAGAGGTAAGATCAGAAAAATGAAGATGCTTATAGTATAAAGACACTTTTCTGAAAATTTTGCACATGTTTCTTATATAAAATTCCCAAAATACAGGTTGAGGTAGAGCAACTAAAAAGAAAAGTTGAAGAATTTGAAGCACAATGTTCTGCTCTTGAGAAAGAAAGCAAGGCCAGTCTCACTGAAGCGGAAGATGCAAAAGCAAAAGCCATGCAACTTCAAGAGACTATTGAAAGGTAGAAACGGACAATTTCTTAATGTCAAATATCATGTCTTCTAGCGCTCACAAATGATTTTGTTAAATTTCAGATTAGATTCGAACTTGTCAAACCTCGAATCTGAGAATCAGGTTCTACGCCAGCAAGCTTTGGTTGATTCAATGGACACAGAAGCGTCTGAAGAGTTAAGAAGGTATCTCCCAAATTTGAAACAGTCGGGCATCTTAATGCAGCTTCTCTTTGACACATTAGTGTGGATTGGATATTCTTTACCCAACATGGATTTTATAAAAAAGCACAAACTCTTATATGAAGTAGGTTTAGTTCATCACATATCTAAAATACCAACCTTTGGCCAGTCTCAGGGAGAGAATTGCAATTTTAGTGTTGGAGAATGAATCTCTTCGCAGCCAGGTAGCAACCGTAGAGAAGACGACTCCCCCTGAAAGCGTACCATCACCAGCAAAGGTGCAAAAGTTTTGTCAATATTTCATATACTTTGTTTGGTAAAATGCAGAATACCATTCAAATTAATCCTTTATGACGCTGCAGATTCAAGAAAATGGACACAGAAAAGAAGAGACTCAAACAACAAAGGTAAATGACCATTTCAGCCTGAAATAAGTAAATGGTACTCATTAAACATTTCCTCATCCTCTCAATGATTTTTTCAGGAGCCAAGAAATCCAATCACCATGTTGACAAAACAAAGATCTCTAACAGATAGGCAACAGGTATCATTTGACTAATTTTTTCACTAGAAAAAAATACCAATAGGATATAAAACAGGACAAAAATGATTTAATAAACCTTTTTCAATTAAAAATAAAAATCTAACAACATTTTCTATGTCATTTTGTAATTCCTGGACTGGACAGGAAAACCACGATGTGCTAATGAAATGCCTTACAGAAGAGAGAAGATTCAACAGTGACAGATCTGTGGCAGCCTGTTTTGTTTACAAAGTACTACTTCAGTGGAGATCATTTGAAGCAGAGAAAACCAATATATTTGATAGAATTGTTCACACAATCCGAGGATCCGTCGAGGTAGTAAATTGAAGAGATTGACCAACTATAGCAGCAAATTTTCTGAAAGCAAAAATTATTATTCAAATTATTATCCTGATAGAAACTAACAATTGGAAAACACTCTCAAATTTTGGTCCAGAAGAGCCAGAACGACACAAGGGAACTAGCATATTGGCTTACAACAACCTCTACCCTCTTATATTTTCTGCAATCTACGCTCAAGTTCAGTAATACAAATAATACAAAATCCAGACGTAACAGATCATCCCACGCTACATTATTTGGGCGTTTGGCACAAGTAAGCTTTTACCAAAGTGAGCCTTTGATTCATCAAGGTTATTGAAACCTTATTAATTGTTGGGTTATAATATCTTAGGGACTGCAATCATCTTCATTGGGCATGGAAATATCAAATGGCTACAGTGGAATGGATGGAATATCAAATGAAAAATTGATGGTTGAAGCTAAATACCCAGCTTTATTGTTCAAGCAACACCTGGCTGCATACATCGAGAAAATATATGGAACGATCCGTGATAACTTAAAGAAAGAGATAAGCCCATTTCTAACTCTATGTATTCATGTGAGTATACTCCTCGTCAAGTTTAATCAAATAACAAAGAAAATTGTCTTAGTGACTTGTAACATATCTCGCATGTGACAGGCACCAAGATCGACAAGAGTCAGGACCTTGAGAGGCATATCTAAAAGCATCCATTCAACCATAGCAAACCAACAAGCATCATATGTACACTGGCAGAACATCATCAACAAGCTTGAACATATCTTGAACCTTATGGCCGAGAACTATGTAAGTGAATGGACATTCGACCTATTCTTCCATAGTTGAAGTTCAATTTTCAAGCTTGAAGGTTTTTTGATGACTGAGTTTAAATGAAATCCAGGTGCCATCTATGATCACAAGAAAACTCTTCCATCAGGTTTTCTCATACATAAACGTGCAGCTTTTTAACAGGTATAGAAAATGAATTACCAGGTCATGCATTAAAGATATACATATAGCAGCATTTATCTATTAGGTAGTTCGACTTACAAATGTTATTTTCTGGCAGTTTGTTGCTTCGCCGAGAATGTTGTTCATTCAGCAATGGAGAATATTTGAAGATGGGTTTGCATGAATTAGAGCAGTGGTGTCTGAAAGCAGAGGATGAGGTAAGCTTAAGCAATTAGAGCCTAATCATGCAAATATCAAATGAGATGACAGGTAGAAATCACGTTATTGTGTCTTTATTCTATAGGCTGCTCGATCACCATGGGATGAACTTCAACATATAAGGCAAGCTGTGAGATTTCTGGTACAACTCCTGAATCCTTATCGATTTACTGAATTACATATTTGAATGAAAGTTCACTAGTTCAGTGTTCTGAGATGAACCGTCCCTCTTCAGGTTTTGCATCAAAAGACACAGAAATCCTTGGATGATATCATAAAAGAAGTTTGTCCGGTAAGACATTACACAGAACTCTCAGTCAATTGGAATGCAATTAGTCCCCATCCTAGTCTAGATTTATTCTTAAAATTTGTATGGTTGGATAGAAAGACTTCCAAGAACGGCAACCAAAAATCTCATGAAGTCAAGGTTTGATGAGTCATGAGTACACCAAGAGAATAGTAAGAAATCAATAAAAATGAAACTTTACCAGCTATCTTTATACAAAAATTCTCGACAATGAAAGCCGATAGGATCTATCTGTTAATTTCTTTTCCTAACCTGTTGCAAATTTCCCATCTGTTCTTTATTCCTCAGATGCTAAGCATTCCACAAATATATCGAATTGGAACAATGTTTTGGGACGACAAATACGGAACACAAGGACTCTCCCCAGAGGCAAGTCATGATTTCTATCTCTTATCTAAATAGTTATGGACTACAAATCTCGAATTACCCCAAATTACCCCAAACAAACTTCGGAGTTCTCTACGAATTCCACAAAATATATCTCACAACAACAATTACCGCCACTTTCTTTCAGTCATTGGCAATGCAATATCTCAATCAAGAGATATAACTGCCAACACTCAAAACCTAAGCACATTGAGGTTCTTACCTATTTTCTTGGGATCAATATTCTTCCGACCTTTACAATCATTCTGCAGAAGAAAAAAAAAGAATTATTTGCCTAATTGAGCAAGAAAAATCACAGGAAAACTAAACCCTTAACGCAAAATCAAATCTTTTATATGGAATAACAGGTGATCAGACAAATGAGGAAACTGACGGCGGAAGATTCAGCTAACACGACGAACACTTCCTTCTTGCTAGACGTCGATTCAAGGTAAGTAAAAGCAATCGCCAAAGAACCATTTTCAAGGGTCTTTTCGCTTTCTTTGTGATTCTCTACTACTGCCGTCGTCGAATTCTAAAGCCCTTGTTTCTGAAATGCAATTCAACAGCATACCGTTCACAGTGGAGCAAGTGTCGCAATCCTTCCATGGCGGCGCCGTTAGCCTCTCCGACGTGGATCCTCCGCCGCTACTCCGACAGCGATCTGATTTCCACTTCCTGTTTCAGACACTCGCCGAGTGAATTGACGAAAGAAGGAAACCATAAAGGACGGAAATGGGAGAATTTCGTATTTATACAAAAAAAAAAGGGTTTTTGTTTGTTCTTTCATTTTTTTGTCCCCCCAAAGTTCCGTTTGTTTTTCCTTTTCTTGGTTTTCTTGGTTTCTTTCGTCACTACTTTTGGTTTTCTTTTTACGATTCTTTAAATACAAATATTTATGTAGAGTAGATGAGATTGTTGCTGTATTGAAAATTTATTTATTTTGTATGTTGAAATGATTATTGGATTTATGATTTTATTCGAAATTTGGTATGTTTATTCTAATTTTTTTAGTGATTATTGGTCTATCGCTTATCAGTGGCAGTCTCTTGTTAACCGCCGATTTTGATCATAGTCGGGTTCTTAATGCTTCTACTGAAATTAGTTGAGTTTTTCATGAATATATAAAAGATATGGGGCTGAAATATAATTTATTTAATTTAACCGAGGATATAAAAAGTGCACCCGTGAGAAGCGAAAACACAAGCAGGAGAAGAAATCGACGGAGAGAGAACTGCGGAGGCCGAAATCTGCAAAGGTACGCTTTAAGTTTGAAACCTCAAGCTTCATCATGTATCTCTGCGTAAACCCTGAATCTGTATTTTTGTTTAACGATCAAGTTTTCATGGAGTATGAACAATCATGCTGATTTTGGTCAGTGGGTGGGTAGAATTGGAAGTGCAGAGCACATAAAACGCTTGATAACTGAGACTGATCCCGATGTTCCGTTCCCAATCTGGCTATAGCTATATGGCCATGGCCGCTCTGTCGTGATTGTAAGCTTCTTCTTGAAGCAAGCCGGATCACGGAGAGGGAGATGATGATTAGGTCATTCTGTAAAGGGACTTTGTTTGTGTTATGGATAGGCAATATGAAGCTATGAAATTTCGGAAGCATCGAAGATGAACTTGAGATTGCCTTAACAACTTCACAGTGATGTGATAACATTCGTTCATCACAAGCTTCTTTGGATACAGGTGACAGTGACCACAGTTATTCCTTAAACAGCAGAAAATGTCGAAACCACACTTGCAAGCAAACATAAACAACATCTTAAGTTACTGCCTCTGCTACTTAATCTGAGACAGCATGGTTCTGACTTCCTTGCTGTTGGGCCGCTGTTTCGGATCATCCAGAGTACAGAAACAAGCGATTTTAAGAACCAGAAGCATTTGTTCGTCGTAGCCTTGTCCCATCAGCTTTGGATCGATGGCAAGGCCCGGATTCTCCGATGTCATCATGTTCCTCATCCACTTGATCAGACTCATCTCCTCTGTGTGCTGGAAAAACTCATCTGATGGAAGCTTCCCAATCACCAGAACCCCGAGTATGACCCCAAAACTGTATATATCGCACTTATCAGTGAATTTCAGGGTTTGATGATACTCGGGCGCTATGTATCCAACTGTTCCGGCAACATTTGACGTCGTGACATGCGTGTTTGCGTCTGGAACTACCTTTGCCAGTCCGAAATCTGCAATCCGGGCCTCCATATCATCGTCTAGAAGAACATTTGCCGGTTTCAAATCTCGGTGTATGATTCTCGGGCTGTGGTCCATGTGGAGGTATTCAAGCCCTGCAGCTATCCCTACTGCAATCTTGTGCCTAGCCGGCCAGGTTAGCTCTCCGTTTCCTGTCGCTACGTCGTTTAGTACATCTTGTAAACTCCCGTTCTTCATGAGCTCGTAAACGAGATAATGGCAATCAGGTCTTGAAACATGTGCCAGTAACGGGAGAAGATTCCGATGCCTGATTTGGCCGACAGTGTTGATCTCAGATCGGATTTGTCTCATCTTCTTGTTCAGAAGCTTGGTGTCTTCCTCTGCAAGCTCGCTGGCGTCTTTAGACGGTTGGATAACTTTCTTTATGGCGACTTATGTTAATGCCAACATATATTACCTTATGTTAGTGAAAAACATACGGTGAAAAACAAGGAAAATTTACCATAACGTTTTTACCGATCCTTGCATTTTTATCTACGACAGCCTTTCTTATTCGGGTTTTTTCACCGATCCCTATTCGGATATCGACGTGTTCTTCCCTGTCTTTGCCATTGATACATTCTTCGGCCTGTGTGACAATATTGTATAAACAGATGTTGGAAATGTATATCAGAGGGTAATGATCGGACCAAAAAGATTTAATGGCTTTTCTTATACGTCGTAGATGTCTGCACCCATGATGACAGAGTCCTCAACGATGACTTCGTCTGCGATTCTCGTCCTCATTCCCACCACTGATCCTCTGATGACGCATCTCTACACTTGGAATCACCACAAAAGAGAATCACAAAGTCTTCAGCTTTATCCGTTTCTATGAAGAACAACAGCTAAGAGAAGCTATCTCTTCTTCGTTCTCTAGGAAAGCCAGGTCTTCGGCTTTCTTGATCAAAGGGCTGAATATGGATGGACCTGCGGGCTTGCGTGCTCCCCTTATTGCTGCAACAATCAACTTAAACATCATGGAGAAGACGAACCCTGAAATCGATCCGGCTATGGCTCCCACGAAGAACCCTAGGATCCATGCTGCTACTTTCTTCTTCCTGTTGCTTTTCTTCTTCTTTACTGCTGCAGTTGGAGCTTGAGCTGTTGCTCCTGATGAACTGTCATTAGCTTTCTTGGTGGGATTCGAAGATGCGTTTTGAGCAAGAATTCGTCTTGTTGGTTGCAGAGATGATTGGAGCTTGGTTTTGCTCGTAAGTGGAACTGGACCTTCCAAGAACTGGTTTCCCGAAAAGTCGAAGAACCGGAGATTGCTGAAGGACTGTAATGATACTGGGACTTTCCCGGAAAAGAGGTTATTCGCAACGGAGAGATTTTCCAGGTTGGGAAAATTCTTCAAGAAATCCAAGCTCCCGGAAAATCTATTGGAAGAAAGGTTGAGAATGCGAAGACGGGTCAACCCCGAAAAATTTCTCGGGACTTGACCGGAGAATCTGTTGCTCCCGAGATCGAGAACTTCGAGTTTCTTGCACCGCAAGACTTCTGTCGGGAGATCTCTGACCAACTGATTGTTGGCCAAAGTGAGCTGCCGGAGCTCCGACAGCTGTCCGATCTCCGGCGAGATGAATCCGGTGAGCCGTCGGGATTTGAAGATAAGCCTCGTGATGCGGAGAACATCTCCTCCGGTGACGGAGGCGGAGAGCCTCCTCTCGCAGAAGACGCCGCGTCTGCTGCAGGGGTTGACTCCGGGAGAGGAGAGATGTTGACCGTTGACTCCAAGGTCCCTCTCTACGATCCGAAGAGCTCTCAGATCTGAAGGTTCGACCTCAAGCCGAGCCGCGGAGAGGGAGGAGGAGGAAGAGAGCAGAAGCAGAGAGAGAAGAGTGAGGAGGAGAGGCATATCTCCTCGGGAGATTGCCATTTTTGTCAAATTGAAGTTTTTTTCTTCTTCGATGGATGGATGCTGATAAAGGTTTGTTGGGTATTTATTTATTAATGGCCTACGACTTCCAGTGTGAGTGGACACATCCGAGTTGTTATTTTTATTTTTAATCTGTAATAATAAAAAAGAGGCTTATGTTTTTGTTGTTTTTATTTTTTTAATCTATTTCGTCCCGTTTGCTACGTTACTGTGTTTGATGGTTTCCTCGTAGAATCGTCAAAGTCAACCGAGTGTGGGTTTCCCCATTCGGCCGCCTTTTTCCACACGTTAGAAAAATTGGACCACTTTATATTTCTACATGTTCCATCCTTAATCATGACAAAGCATAGTTTCCCATTCTGTCCGTTGACGTTTACTAAGAACTTCACACGAAACGGCACATGGTGGGAAGTTATTTAACATAACAGAATTATTCACTAACCATAGATTTTATATAAATCTTATACATAATAATGAAGTACTAAACAGATCATCAACGGTCATGTACATATTTAACGGCTCATGTAGAAAGTTCCGTACTTTCCCAAAACTGGGGAAGTTTGCTTGCCTGTTTCACTGTTGCGGTATTTCATCTAAGCAGTCTTTGAGAATCTCTCTTAGATACTCCAGCTGTTCGGAGCTGCCTTCGAGTTCCTCCCACTACATATTGAAGTAAGAACGTTTTAAACACATGATGTTGTTGTAAGATCTGATTATAGTGTGATGATCTGGACCAGAGTTTCAATTCAATGGCAAGTAACCATGTCTCGCAGTAACCCTAACACGAGTTCAGATGGGAGTTCTAACTCACCTCTTGATGAGACAAAGATACCATCTTCCAACCAGCAGCTGTAACATACCGCCGCTTTAGCATCGTATGCCCTAATGGTACTCCTAAACATGCACAAAAAGACTGATTTTAGCTCTGAAAATCAGAATCAATGATCGAAAAATTATGTTGTGTTGCTGGACCAGACAGCGGGGATAGAAGAAGAAACTGGGTCATGGTACTTACCGGTGTTTCTTGAGAAATGGGTCGGTCCATCGATCTCCAAAGCAACATTCTTATCAACCACAGCAACATCCACGGTATAGCCACTTACGGGATGTTCTTTAACCCAATCAAGCCCTGTACTGATGAGAAGTCGAGCCACCTCTTTCTGGAAAGACGATGTTACTTTCTGGTTAAACCTTTTAGTTTTCCCTGCACGGCTTATTTTCTCCTCGAGTTCACGATCAAGAGACAACTGAAGGTGTGAGTATTCGAGCTTCAAGCACTGATTCGCATGATAAACCTGTGAAGCAAACATGACATCTTCTCTATACTGTTCTGAAAGCCTTTGCTCCTCGGAAGTGGTCAAGGTTTTCCATATGCTGGAAAAGAAAGGACGTTCCAGCTGTCCAAGAACAGCATAAGACCACGCTATGTTTCCAAGCTGGTCCCTGTTAAAGCTAAGTACCGGTGATTCTGATGAATCTTCGACATTCACACCTTTGCTTTCTTCAGCATCATAATTTTGGATTTTGTTCTTCAAGCAGCATTCGAACTGGTCTCGGTTCCCGAAAGCACTATCCAGAGATTCAAGAAATAGATCAGCTGGCTCATTAAGAGAGGCAAGTGCCCACAACAGCTGAGCCAGTTCTTGTTCTTGAAAAGTGAGAACTATAATAGACGCCCTCTTCGACAACTCAGCAAACAGATCGGAAGCAGAATGCCGCATAGAGGCAAAAGCCCCTGCAATATTAGCAACGTTTTGAGAATTGAACTCCCCAACCTTTGATACGGCCACTTCTGCTACTCTATCCATTTCTGTCAAATAAAGCAAATCGCCACCGATTTTGGACAAAGCCCAAGAAATATTTGATATGCCTTGGGCTGAACAATCTGGTAAGGATGTCATCGCAAGGGCAACAAGCATTGACATCTCTCTTTGCCGAGCCAGGGCAAGCCTACGAGTCCTTGTCATCGAAACTTTCTCCATGTTCTTCGCGATCCGGTGGAGTGAAGTGGCAATGTTTAGGGGAGATAATGGCGATGGACTTAAACCTTTGCCAACCGCCATGATTGTCTCAGCTGTTACTTCCAGCACTTCTTCTGCAGTCTGTGCTTCTACTATAGCCTTGTTCAGGTTGATTTCCTTCCTCCGATCAGATGGACCTGAAAATTGGGATAGTCTGTGAACAAACAGCTCCATCGATTTCTTCTTCTCTTCTTCAAATTGTCTCTGAAAATAGAGCTCCGTCAACTTCTTCTTCTCTTCCTTCGTCTTGTCCTCCAACAAGCCATCTATATCTTCAAAGTTCAAATCTTCTTCGAAGCCGACAATCTGATCTGAGTAGGTCTGGTCGCGCCCTGTTAGCCAGTGAGTGCTTGTCCCCTCTTCCGAATCAAAATCGGAATCATCTTCAGGAACACTTTCACTCTTACTTTTCTCTTTGCCTACTACCATCTTTTTCTTGTTCTTTTTATGTTTCTTCTTCTTCTTCTTAACAGACATCAAGTCCTCCATTTTATGAGACAAGCCTCTGGCCTCAATAGTTTTGAGGGCTATTTTCCTTGCCCTTACACACCAGTCCATACCTTCAGTTTCCTCGAGCAATTTCGACTTCTGCTGCTTTTTCCTTTTCTTTGGTGGTTGCTGATCCAACGGGTCAATAGCCCCAAGGAATTCCGACTCCCAGTCCGCGTCATGTTCGTCTTCCAGTTCCTCCTCCGAGCGACCAACTGCAGATGAATTCTGCAACAACATGGAAACAGCAATAACATATACGCAGACATGCTCAAAACCACAAATCATCAGGGAAAGAAAAAGAATGAGCATGAATCTACATTTGATTCTGGATATTACCCATTTCGAAAAATGAAAAAACAGCTCATCCAGAGTCATATACATAGGCAGAACCGGAGAAGCTAAAGGGCTTCTATGTTATATGAAACAAATACATATCCTCTATTGTTCTCTGTTTAAGGGATTAGGACAATAGATGAACGAGTAAACAAGAAGCATATATCCTCAGGCACCTACAATAATCGGCACAACAACGCAGACCGACACAACAGAGTTCCCATGGAAACGACAAAATCCAAGTTTTCCGGAACTAACCACAGCATGAAGAAGGTGCTCAAAGGCTGAACCCGTGCGGCGGCGCAAGGCCGTCGTACAATGAGCAAACGGAGAAACCTTCTCATCCGCGAATTGGGTCCAAAACCCTGGATTAGCGGAAGAGATTAAGAGGCTAAAATTGGGTTACGAGGGAACAAAGACGAGAGAAATGAAGAAGCAACCTGACGCAGAGGAGGAGGAGAAGGAGACAGGGAAACGAACATGGCGGCGGTGGTGATCAATACACCGGCGGGGGAGCGGCGGAGGGGGAGAGAAGCACCGCCATGGAGCTAGAGACTCCATCTTTCTTTCGCTAACAGAGCGACAGAAGCAAAAGCATCGAAAATTTAAGAAGATAGCGCGTTTCAGCCAGAACCCTCTTCATCAAGTAGCGGGTTTTAAGCCCCGAACCCTCTTTCTCAGTCAGCGAGTTACATTGGACCAACATCGGAAATGATTTATTAATCTTAGAAGTTATTCACCGAAATATACCATTTTATTTTATAATTTTTGTTTTACATATAAGAATAATGAATGTAAAAAAATAGAATGAAATTCATAAGATGGAATTGTTTGCTATCACTGCGTTCCTCATCACTACTACGATTCCTTCTCTGATGACGTAACCATGAGCCTCTCGATCTCCTTCCTCCACTCCGTCTCTATTCATAATCTGTAAACACGTTAATCGGAAACAAACTTATGTTAATGCCAACATATATTACCTTATGTTAGTGAAAAACATACGGTGAAAAACAAGGAAAATTTACCATAACGTTTTTACCGATCCTTGCATTTTTATCTACGACAGCCTTTCTTATTCGGGTTTTTTCACCGATCCCTATTCGGATATCGACGTGTTCTTCCCTGTCTTTGCCATTGATACATTCTTCGGCCTGTGTGACAATATTGTATAAACAGATGTTGGAAATGTATATCAGAGGGTAATGATCGGACCAAAAAGATTTAATGGCTTTTCTTATACGTCGTAGATGTCTGCACCCATGATGACAGAGTCCTCAACGATGACTTCGTCTGCGATTCTCGTCCTCATTCCCACCACTGATCCTCTGATGACGCATCTCTACACTTGGAATCACCACAAAAGAGAATCACAAAGTCTTCAGCTTTATCCGTTTCTATGAAGAACAACAGCTAACGATTGAGGATCTGATCTGAAAGTGAGTGAGTTTCTGGAGTTCTTTACATTGAGAATGCAACCGTCTCCGACGATGCTGTCCGTTATGACGGCCTCGGTTATGGAACTCGGAGGCACACACCGAGGCATCGAGTAGATAGGAGAGTTTCTGTCATAGAACCTGCAACACGAGAAGGAAAAAAAGGTTCAGAATTCGTCGAGTTTGCGGGTATTTTCTCGCGTTTTCTCAGCGATCAAAGCAATGTTTATCAGAAGGGTCGAAGAAAGTCACGTACTTGAATCCAGAACTCGATGTCTTAATGCTATCCATGTTGGCTTTGTAGAATGCTCCGATGCTTTTCACATCTTCCCAGTATCTGTCGAACATGTGAGCTTTCACCTGAAACAAGAACTCTCACTTTCTCTGCATGTGTCTGAAACTGTAACTGTGGGTTTAACGGCTAACAATACGTTTCCATGTACTTTTTGTCTACCTTCATGCCTTTCGATATAGCACCTGGAATGATTTCGCTCGCAAAGTCATCCGCCTCGACGAAGTATTCTCTCAAAAGTTTCCCCATTTGTTCTCTGCCCACGACGTAAATCCCCGAACTCGGAATGTTTCTTCTCGTTCTTTCTTCCTCCTGTACCGTCTGCATAACGCAGAAACTTCACTCTTCTGGTTGAATCATTATAACGATATAAGAATCGCCATCTTACAGGTATGGAATCTTGCTGGTCCTTGTCTGGTTTGATGGTGAATCTGGCGACATAGTTTGCTTCGTCAACTTCCATAAAACCGAAACCCGGGTCTTGTTCCGTGACAGAGGTTAATCCAACGACAGTTATGTCGGCTCCACTTCTTATGTGAGCTTCAATGACTGTCTTGTAATCCATCACGTAGAGATGATGCCCAGGTAGAACCAGAAACTCTGTAACGGGAAACTCTTCCAACACCCACAAGCACCTTCTTATTGCATCAGCAGTTCCCTTGCAACACGAGTCAAGGATTTTGTGAAGAACACGTCACAGATACAAACTCAAACTCAAAGATTCTGATTCACAGAATTGTCCGAACGAAGCTGGAAACAGTACATACCTGGAACCACCCATGGTTTTCGGGGCTCTGATAAGCGGCAATGACTTCGACAAAACCGTCTTTTCCCAGGCAAGATCCGGAATAAGCCTTGGAGAGGTGTGAATTGAGAGAAGTCGAGTTGAACTGGGTGATGGCGTAGATCTTGCCGATGTCGCTGTTGATGCAGTTGCTGATAACCGAGTCGACGAGTCTGTAGTTCGCTGCTATGGGAATGGCCCCTTTGGCTCTCGTCTTTGTCAGAGGATAAAGCTCAGGGTCTGATCCTCCTCCGAACACTATCGCCGCCACGCTCTGAACAAATCAAGATCATGACTCATGAGTGATGTTTCCACTGGTTTAGCCTAAAGGAAATGTATCTGAAGGTGTAGTTCGAATTCTTGCCAGAGTTTCTACAGATTCGTAGCTTTATGGCCCCATTGGATTAAATGAAAGATTCATGCTGTAACGCAAAAAAAAAAAGAAAAAAAAAAAGAAAAAGAGCAGGAGTGAAGCAAGAACCTGGTTGAGAGGAAGCTGAAGCTGATGGGAATTGGAAACAGAGAGGGTAGGGCATAAACTGGGAAGAAGCTTCAGTTTCTGTCTATGGTGATGAACAGAAGTCAATCCCAGAATCGGGGGATTCAAATTGGTAGAACAACTCGAAGGAGGATGAATCTGCATGCTTTGAAGATCTACGAGCAAGAATCCAAAAAAAAAAAAGCCTGGGCAAATCTTGATCTTTGAAGCCCTGTTTTTTCTCCCTATCTTCAGTTCGTCATACGATCGGGAAAGAACGATCATTTACTTAAAGAAGGAGAAGGAAACGTGAGAGAATATTTCCGGGAGGTTTCTTCATGGCATGGGTCTGGATTATGTCAGGGCGTGGAATGGTTGTACGGACCGCCCGACACGTCCTGTTTCAGACATATAGCTTTGCCTTTGCTTATGTTAATGTCTCTCTGCAACTTCTTTACTTTGTCGTCCGACTTGATTCCTTACCTTCTCCTTTTCTTCGTTGCCGGAAACGTGGGCTGTTTCTCAAACTAGTTATTGTCAAAATTATATGATTAAGTATATAAAATTTAATCTGAAGCTAGCAATTTATAAATATATTTAAGGAGCTATATTTATTTTAATTACAAAACGGAGAAAAGGGAAATGTAATATATATATATATATATATATATATATATGTAATACGTGCAAAAGGCAAAGGCTATGGAATGGAGTGCATGCGAAGTTAAGCATTTTACGACATTACGTTGTGATCTCATGCAAACTCTCACTTGCCGTTTTTCACGTTGTGTTGGTTCTCTATATTTTCTTCACAGTTCTATGAATATTTTCAAAATCTTAATATTGTTTACGGCTTAAATCGACCTGTAGTTTGTTGAATAAGACCGGTGATATAATGGGTTAGGTTATATTTTTGAAGATTGCGTGGAATAAATATTCATTATAAAAAAATTGAACAATAAATATAAATTTGTTCGTGAAAATTCATAATTATCCATTGACCAGCGGTTTGATTCCAGATCTTGATTCTTGACGCTTCCTGAGACGCAACTGGATGGGAAAAATCACTCAAATATACGAATGTGTTGCACCAATTTCAGGCGATACAAAAAAAACATTTTTTTTTCAATTCTATACCATTTTTGGATTTAAAAAGTAGGAAATAACATTTTTTTTAATATTTTTTTACGACTTTATTACGACTATACGACTAAAAAAAAAAGTATTTACGATCGTATAACAACTAAAGATATTATAAACAATTAGATGTATTTTTTACCATCTCATTTAGAATCAATTATAACTATATTTATAATCAATTGCAATTGTATTTAAAATTAATTACGACATTGTAATTATAATTACACGGTTTCAAGGTAATATCGTCTTTTCAACAAAAAAAAAAAGTTAATGGGTTATATTTTTTTTTGGGTGTATCCGATAAATGACTGCTACATACCATGATTTACCCAACTCGATGCCGTTTCTGCTCTGTAGAAACGACGTGCAGTTCCTGACTCCCTTTGACCGTGTCTCTGCCGTGCTCTCTCCTTCAACAGCAGTCTTGTCACGGAAGCATTGCCCAGATTTCGCAATTTGCATTTGCTCTTCAGTCGAAGGAAGATTAGGGTTTTGTAGAATCTGATTATGGAGGACCGGGAAGATCTGAAGTCGATTTTGCCGTTCCTGCCGCTTCTGATCCGTTCCTCTTCGCTGTATTGGCCGGCGCGTGTGGTGGAGGCGCTGAAGGCCATGTCCGAAGGACCGAGCCGCAGCCGAGTTGACTCGGGAGAGGTCCTTTGGCTCGCCATTTCCGACATGAGGCAATCTCTGTCCTTTTCCTCTCGCTTTGTCGCGCCTTCTGCTTCTCATGGCTACGCCCTTTTCTTCGACGAAGTGATCATTCCTCCTTTCTTTTGCCTAGTTCCATATTTTTTGGTTTTCTTCTCAGTTTCCGTGCATTTCTATAATTTTGTTAGTTTAGTTCGAAAGTACCGTGTACGGTTTTGGAATTGAATGTATTAAATTCTGGTGGTGAACAGTGATATAGTTTTATACTGATCAATCCGCTAGAAACTTCCCGACTTTATGTCGTTGTTCTTTCTGCATCAGACTTTGATAACGTCTGTAATTGAGTAGCACCAAATTTGTTGAGGCATATGTTTTAGTATCTCCATGCTATTTTCCTGGGAAGATTCATTATACATTTGTTTGATCTTTGAAGCTCGAAATGTCTGAATAAGGATTTTTTTTCTTGATTGTTGCAGCTGCTACCTAGGAAAGAGTCAAATAAATGGCTCAACGAGATTATCCCGAAATTGGCAAAATTACTCCTTCAGTTCACATCTCTGTTAGAGATGCATTATCAAAATGCAGGTAAACTTTTTGGTGGAATCGAAACAGGTCTCCGCTTGTTAGGTTCCGAACAAACCGGCATAGTTTTTCTCAGCCAGGTACAAATTCGAACTTAACCCATTATCTGTACAAACAGTTTGATGTACTTTATTTTGTATGCCTGGAACAAGAAAATAATTATGATGATCGGAATGATGTCTTTGGAAGAAAAAAAATCAACTTTTTTAATGTTCTTCTTCAGTGATGGTAATTATTCGAATTATGTAACATGCAAATGGGATGTTTAAATTTCCGGGCCGCTCATGGTGATAGAAACATCATTCTGTTTCCGTCAATTAGTTCACAAGGTCGGTTTGTTAGTATTCTAGGTTGGAGGTTGTTGTATTTGTGCTGAAAAATAATGATTTCATCTTTGTTGAAGATATAGGGTGTGCCGTTGTGTCATAATTTTTTGTTTTCAGTCTTTCCACAATGTTTGCAAATTTTTGCAGGAGTTGATTGGATGTCTTCTTGCTTGCTCTTTGTTTTGTTTGTTTCCGGATGCTAATAGAGATGCAGAAAATCTCCCAGGCATCAACTTTGATCATTTGTTTGCGTATGTGACCCTTACTCTATCTTTTGAATTCATAACGATCAAGCCTATATAAGTACAGAAATGGTTGTGCATCGTGTACTGTATTGGTCTAACTTGTTTCACCCTTCTCAGCATGTGCGTATTTTATGCACTGAAAGCAGCCGTGGCACAGCTGTCTTATGTGAATTGTTAGTTTATTTGTGTGTTTTGAATAATTGTTTCCTACTAGGGTGCTTTTAAGTTCTTCCCGATGGATAATGAGGCAAACTAATTTCAAGATAAATTGGGAATGTTCTCAATGAGAAGGTTGACAATTTCTCCTAGTAAATTTAATAGAAAATTAGTAAAATGAAAGAAAAATGTTTACTAAAGGGAATATCTGTGTTTAATGAAGAGTCCTATGTCTTTCCATTTGTTTGGATGTATTTTTCTATGATGAGATAATTATATTCCAGTTTGAGATTCTTTGCTTTTACTATTTTATCCTGTGTGGTTTCACTTTGAACGAGTTCTTTTCGATGTTTTGAACTCATAATTAATGTTTCCTGAAATCAGAGCTTCTTTTGCTTTTGCAGAAGCCTTTATGAAAATTACAGCGAAAATCAAGAAAGCAAGATAAGATGCATTATGTGTTATTTTGAAAGGGTGTTTTCTTGCATGCCTACGGGCTTCGTTTCATTCGAACGCAAGGTTATTCCGGCCGAATACTGTTATTCCTCTGCCACATCGCCTGAGGCTGATTTTTGGAGCAAGTCTGCCCTCCCCCTTTGTGCATTTAAGGTGTCAGGAGTTATGAATGTTGATTTCTATGTTTTGGACCATGATGCATATAAATGCGAGTATTTGATTTCTGTTGACAGTTTTTAATGCTGTAGGTTCACACTTCTGGGTTAATAGAAGATCAACCTGATGATGCTCTTGAAGTGGATTTCGCAAACAAGTATCTCGGAGGTGGTGCCCTTAGTAGGGGATGCGTGCAGGTTTGAAACTCATACCATATTTTAGACTTCAAAAGCTTCTCTGACATTTGAGAAAAGAAAATTCTTGACCTCTTTTTGCTAAACAGAAAGTTCTTGTAAATACATTATTAGCAAATGCATTAGCTTGCAATTTGATTATTGTGCAGGAAGAGATACGCTTCATGATCAACCCCGAATTAATCGCAGGCATGTTTTTCTTGACATGCATGGATGATAATGAAGCCATAGAAATAGTTGGGGCAGAAAGATTTTCATGTTACACAGGGTGAGGCTTCCTGTCTTTGTGACATAATCCATGTTATCTTCGTAGTTGTCTGACTGATCTCTATCTAAATACTTCTCTAAGCAAATGGCCCCATCTAGATACACATAGTTTATAATTATATACAGAAGTAGAAAGCATTATTTGAGATTTTGTATGCATAGTGACAGTCATGGATTTTGATTTTTGTATTCTTTATTCTCCCTTCTTAATGATAAAATAACCTTTTTTTTCTGTAGATATGCATCTTCATTTCGGTTTGCTGGTGAATACATTGACAGAAAGCCTATGGACCCCTTTGGAAGGCGAAGAACCAGAATTGTGGCGATAGATGCACTATATGGCCCAAAGATGAGACACTTCAAGCATGGATGCCTTTTGCGGTATGTGAGACCTTTTCAGGAATGAGATATATAAGATTCTTCATGTAATCACAAAGTCAAGTTAATGCGGGTTTTGGTGAATGTTCAGCAACATGATTTATCTATTGGTACCGTCTATTTAATGTCACACTTGAGGTTCATGTCTCTCTCTCTCTTTGTTTTTCATAGGGAAAGTAATAAAGCTCTCTGTGGCTTTCTGCATGGATGCAAGTATTCACAGTTCCAGAGTTTCAAAGAGAATGGATCTCAGGAAATGCAACTTGCAAGAAATGACAATGATCCTGACTGTCTATGTATGGAAACTTCTTCGGTGGGAAACCTTAATGAACCTTCAGTACCTTTACTCATAATCAAACACATTGTCTTAAGTCTTTGGAAAATCAAGGTCTTGGACGCATGATGTTTATTGGACTTGGTCAATTGTTTTTTGTTCCTAATTTACCTCCGCTTTTTATAGTCTCATGAAACTCCATCAGTTTATGTTGAGACGAGTAAAGAAAAGCTTGCAAACAAGATTGGAAGAGATTCTCATGTGGAAGGACATCAATGTATGGACCATGAAGATACAATTGGTATTGCAACTGGGAACTGGGGCTGTGGTGCTTTTGGGGGAGACCCCGAACTTAAGGCTATGATCCAATGGCTTGCTGCTTCCCAGGTGGTATTTCTTATTCAAGCTCTAATTCATTTCAAATATAATTTCCTGGTTAGTACAAATTGGAAACTTAAAAAAATCACGTGGGTAGATGTTTGACTGTGACAAACTATTAAGCAACCTCATCAAGAGTTTTGGTGTGGCTTTCTGAATAATACCTCTGATATCAGGATTAAAATATTGAAAAGCCTGAGTTTTTTGTTAAGTTTAGGGAAAATCATTATGTTCAGTGGTTTGCTGTTGACTTAATCATGTTTTGTATTCAGGCAAGGAGACCTTACATATCATATTACACGTTTGGAGTGGAGGCTCTCAGAAAACTAGATCAGGTACCTACCTCTCTACAACTTCTCTATCAGTTTCTCTCTTTTCTCCTTCGTTTTTGGAACATATGATCATTAAGGATTGAATTTCTCATGAAACATTTTACAGTGCAGTGTGTTATTGACTTTGATCACTTTTTGATGGGCACAGTTTTTATACCTTTTGTGATCCTTAATTACAACTGATACAATCACTTGGCAAGGACAGGTAACTGAGTGGATTCTTTCCCATGAATGGGCTGTTGGAGATCTATGGAACATGATGCTGGAATATACGACTCAAAGGCTCAACAGAGAGACCGACCTCGGTTTCTTTTCTTGGCTTCTTCCATGGCTAACAACCACGGTGACACCGCCACACCATCTGAATCCCCAAATCCGTCTTGACCAGTGACATTTTCAGCCCTAATGTTGTGCGCTACACTTCTCGATGGTGTATTTATGCATATGTGCACTGAATCTGTAGAAATATAGTTGCCGTATATAAGCATGAAACAGTTCCATTTTGACCAGTCCTCGGTCATGAGCCATTGGCATTCCCCCAGAAGTGTTAGACTTATCCTTATTTCAGGAACTTTTTTTTTTACAAAAGCAAAACTTTGTTCCTTGTGCTTCTCAGTTATAATCTGTTGAAACTACGAAGTTATGTTGGAATTCCATTGTGATACTCTTGTCTGTTTTGTATTTTGGAGGACAAAGGTTAACGTTAGGCATTTTACTTGTTAGCAATTTTCTACAATAGCCATTAGAGTACGTGGACTCAGTCTCTTGGGAAAACGCGTTCCTGCTTGACTTTTGTTTTTCTTGAACTAATAATGCAAAAGAGAAGTTTTTGTTTTCTATTTATCTTCTTGAAGCAAGGAGTACGTCAACAAGCTGAAAGAATATATAGATACGCCAAGAATCAAGTTCCTTTCCTTAATCTGTTGCAGAATTCATAATCTGTTGTGTTTTTTCAAGGAAATCAGGAAAACAGAGGATGGAGAACAAAGCTGATCTGAAGTCGATACTTCCATATCTGCCTCTGGTGGTTCAGTCATCGTCTCTGGTTTGGCCACCACCAGTTGCACAAGAGCTAGAAACAATGTCTAGAGGACCAAGTCATTCTAAGGTTAACTCGGGAAAAGCTCTGGCCTCGCGAATCACTGGTATGAGGAAGTCCGTATCCTTAGATCCATCTTGTCTTGCGACTTTTGCTCTTCAAGGCTATGCCCTTTTCTTCGACGAGGTAAGAAACATTTGTTTTTGTTTCATCTGTTCCTTTATTTGTCGCATTTCTTAGTACTTTGTTTTGACACATTTTCTTGGTTATTTTTGTCAGGAGATTCCCCGAGATGAATCCGCTAAATGGTTTGGTGAGGTGGTCCCTGCATTGGCCGGTCTACTTCTCCAGTTACCTTCAATGTTGGAGATCCACTATTCAAATGCGGACCATGTCCTAGATGGAACCACGACTGGTCTTCGTATCCTAAGTCCTCAAGAAGCTGGAATCGTTTTCCTTAGCCAGGTAAACTCTTTGATTTCATTCTACAAGCCTTCGCTCGGAAAGAAACACGAGTAAGCTTGCGTTTGGCAAAAAAAATATCCGTAAATTTTCTAGTACTTTTGAGGTATGAAGTTGCTCATTCTTTTGTTGGAGCTTGAATTGGGTCATGTTTCTTCCTCTTCTATTTTCTGTTTTCTGCAGGAGTTGATTGCAGCTCTTCTTGCATGTTCCTTCTTTTGTTTGTTCCCTAAAGCTGACAGAGCCTCAAGGCATCTTCAAGGAATCAACTTTGACGAGTTGTTTTCGTATGTGGTTATACCCTGTTTACTTTACCTCGTGATTACCTTTATGGAATTGGTGACAGAGATCAGAGATTCCCTACAACATGCCAATTCGACATGAAAATATTGTCCTCCAATTCTTCCAGTATTACACAATTGATCACTCTTAGTATATTGTTTATGTATAATCACATCACTTTAGCACTATGACATGCCACTTCCATAATGCTGCTTGTCACATGGAATTCGTACTACCAAAGAATGGAATATATTTTTCAATATATTGCGATCTTCTGCTTGTCTATGATTTTCTTAGTGCCATTTATAGATTTTGCTCAATCTGTAAGCACCGAAATTAAAAATCGTTCTCATGTTTCAAGGTTTCTGTACATGCGTTGCTTGAGGGAGCAGAAGCAGAGAATAAGGTGCATCATTCATTACTTTGAGAGGATATGTCGTTGTATGCCAACAGGCTTCGTTTCATTTGAGAGGAAAGTTCTTCCATTGGCATACCATCCTCTTCTTATGTCATATCCAGATGCTGATTTTTGGCACAAATCCACCGTCCCCCTTTGTTCCATTGAGGTAACACTAACAGGGAAACAATCCAGGTCTTCTTCACAATTTAATCCATATTTGTGGATCATACATGAATATGCATTCCGTAAATTTTCTCTTTGGCCTTCTTGTTCTGGAGTAGGTTCACACTTCAGGATTTATAGAAGAACAACCAGGTAAAGCTCTTGAAGTGGATTTTGCTGATGAGTATTTCGGAGGCCTTGCTCTCCGTAATGGATGTCTGCAGGTTTGATACGTTAATTCCCATAATCTCTTTTTAAGATTGCAAACTGTATCATCTCATCTTCTGTGGCAGATTCTGAACCCTTTTGTATGAGAAGTCTGATAAATTGTCTTCTCATGCAGGAAGAAGTACGGTTTATGATCAACCCTGAACTAATCGCGGGCATGCTGTTCTTGTCTCGTATGGACGATAATGAGGCCATAGAGATTGTTGGTGTTGAAAGATTCTCACAGTATGTAGGGTAAGGTTTGATGAATCAAAGAAAAAGTTAAAACTTGTGGTTTTCAGGAAATCTGAAAATGTTTTGAATCCTATTGAATACCTATTTGAGGCTTGCAGGTATGATTATTCATTCCAATTTGCCGGTGATTACACGGACAAGAAGGAACTGGACTTCCTCAGAAGGCGAAAAACAAGAGTCATAGCTATAGACGCAATTCCTCTGCCAGGATTGAGACAGTACAAACGTGAAGGCCTCCTTCGGTAACAGGAGTTACCCTCGGGCTTTCAACCTTTGACTCATTTTCTATTTGAACTTTTCATTCACTCCTTTTGTTTCTACAGGGAGGTTAACAAGGCTTTTTGTGGATATCTGCAACGAAACATATATCAAGTGAATAGATCCCACAGAATGAAGCTTGAGGTAGTAGATGTCAAAACTCATGGTTCCGTTCATTTAGAGGCATTGCCTTCTGCAAGGGCGCTACCTCACTGTGTGCCTTCGGCTTACCTGTGGAGTTTTTCTGATTTACTGAACTAAAATTTGCTGTTGCGTAGGCGCATGATTCTCTTGAATCAGCTTCTGTGAGCCAAGAACTACAAAGTCCTCACCAAAAGGAGAGATTGTATTGTGACACTGAAGAGAAGATTGGTGTTGCAACAGGGAACTGGGGCTGCGGTGTATTTGGAGGTGACCCTGAACTAAAGACCATGATTCAATGGCTCGCTGCCTCACAGGTACCCCCTCTCCTTCTCGATTCGCTGCCTGCAAAGCAATTCTTTAGAAGCTCGAGCCTTCTTTTAACTCGAAGCATTTCACTTTCCAGTCGGGAAGGCCTTTCATGTCATACTACACATTTGGCCTCGAAGCACTACAAAATCTCGATCAGGTAATACTCTTATTCTGTTCTGTCTTTTCTGATATATGAAGGAAATTCCAGCCTCACTGCGCTGAATGAATTGCTTCCGGGGATTGGTGATATTAGAATTAACTGTGAAGCATGTTTTACGGTAGGTGACTAAATGGATTGCTTCTCAGAAATGGACAGTCGGATACCTCTGGAGTAAGCTAGTCGAGCATACTTCAGAGCGTCTCAATGGAAGAACACAAGCCAGCCTCTTCTCCTGGCTCATCCCTTCATGCTCGGCTTAGGCTGCTGAGTTCAAATCACCCCATGTCTTGACATACTCCAATTTAGAGATTTTCCGTTTGATTCCCTTACTTTGATTTCTTCTGTTTGCATTGATGATCGATTGCTTGAACAACAAATACTGTAGTAGAGTTGGCTAGTTTTGTGTTGAATTTTATTTGATCAATCGAGTAACAGGTTCTCTGTATTTGTGGATCTGTCATGATCAGTTGAAACTGCAGTATTGTTATACAGGATTTTGCCAAGTAAACTAAAACTTGTGACGTTGTGCTCCAGACAGAAACAAAGACTAACAGAAGAAATTGATTGGTCAGAAGTTGTAAGCAATATTCACTAGAGCGCATGGGCCCGGTTTCTCAGGAAAACGTGTTCCTGTTTTGACTTAGGTTCCTTCTGGCTTCAATTATAAAAATGAGCTCGGTTGCTGGTTACTTCGTCTCCAAGCTTAGATCAAGTCAACTACTTGAAAAGAAATACACACGTTAGAAGTTAAAGTTTCGTTTTCCCTTTATCCTTTGCATACTTCATCATCTCCCTTTTGAATTTCTCTGAGGAAAGCAGGAAAACAGAGAATGGAGAACAGAGGTGATCTAAAGTCGATACTTCCGTATCTGCCACTGATGGATCAGACATCGTCTCTGATTTGGCCGAGGCCGGTTGCAGAAGAGCTAGATGCAATGTCTAGAGGACCAAGTAATACTAAAGTTAACTCAGGAGAGGCTTTAGCCTCCCGGATTTCCAGTATGAGGAGGTCCCTCTCCTTGGATCCATCCCTCCTTAAACCATTCGCTCTTGAAGGCTATGCTGTTTTCTTTGATAGGGTAATGATCTTGTCTTTCCTTGTTCTCTGGCCCTTTCTGTGTTTTCCGATTCATCTTTTCAGATATTTTCTTCGGTGTGTTGTCTACTGTAAGTTGAATTTTTCATATGGGTGGTTAGCATCTGAGCATGAAAATATGCTCCTCATGGGAAATTCAGAATCTTTGCTGGTACTGTCTTAAGATAGATACAGGAATCACAAGGATGGTTTTGTTGAAATGCAGAAAATCTCGAGAGAAGAATCGGGTAAATGGTTTGGTGAGGTGTTCCCAGCATTGGCCAGATTACTTCTCCGGTTACCTTCAATGCTAGAAATGCACTATCAAAAGGCAGACCATGTTTTAGATGGAATCACCACTGGTCTTCGCATATTAGATCCTCAGGAAGCTGGAATTGTGTTCCTTAGCCAGGTAATCTCTCTTAATTTCTAATCGCTTCTTGAGCATATAAGCTTCATGGCTTTCTATGATACCTTGGAAACAAAGTAGTTTGATCTTTTCGTTGGAGTTTTTTCTATCTTATCCTCTTATGCTTCACTGTTCTCTGCAGGAACTGATCGCAGCTCTTCTTGCATGTTCTTTCTTTTGTTTGTTCCCTGAATCTGAGAGAGCTTCAAGGCACCTTCGAGGAATCAACTTTCACGAATTGTTTTCGTATGTTGCTCTAAATTTTATTTCGTCTTAAACTTTATAGAAAGAAGTTACGGAAATGTTAACAAGAAATGCAAATCCATCAGCAGAAATGTTCTATGTATTCTTTCAGTTCCTTGCTCTGTTTCAGTTTATCTTTGGTTGTTTCAACATCTTATATAAGCATTTCACATATAGGTGTTTGAACTTTTATGACTGGGTTCACTGAAGTTACAAATCTTTGTTGTGTTCTAAGGTATATGCATACACGTCAGAGCAAGAACCATGAGAACAAAATAAGGTGCATCATCCATTACTTTGAAAGGATATGTTGTTGTATGCCGATGGGATTTGTTTCATTTGAGAGGAAAGTTCTTCCATTTTCACACCATCCTCTTCTTGTTTCTTATCCCACTTCTGATTCATGGAACAAATCCATCACCTCTCTTTGCCCCATTGAGGTAACAGGAAATAGTCCTAGTCTTCTTCACTACTGAACCATGGTTGTGGATGATAAACGAGTATGCATTGGGTAATTTTTATCTTCGATCTTTTTGTATTGGAGTAGGTTCACACTTCAGGATCCATTGAAGATCAGACCGGTGAAGCTCTTGAAGTGGATTTTGCAGATGAGTATTTTGGAGGTCTCACACTGCGTAATGGATGTGTGCAGGTTCTGATTGTTCCTTCTTGTAATCTATTTAAAGATTCTTAATGCAAACTCTACCATCTCATGTGCCGCATCAGAGTTCTAATTTATGTGAATATGGAACTTCTGCTGAAACTGGAAACTGTCATCTTATGCAGGAAGAAATACGGTTTATGATCAACCCAGAACTCATAGCCGGTATGATGTTCTTGCCTCGTATGGATGATAATGAAGCGATTGAGATTGTTGGTGTTGAAAGGTTCTCACATTACACTGGGTAAGCACACTGTAAATTGAAGAAGTTAGGCTTAAAATTTTAAGGAAATCCAAATATCTTTCTTAGCTTTATGTGAGGCTTTACAGGTATGGAGCTTCATTCCAATTTTCTGGTGATTATGTGGACAAGAAGGAACTGGACATTTTCAGAAGGCGAAAAACGAGAGTCATAGCGATAGATGCAATGCCTCGTACTGGAACGAGACAATACAAACCTGAAGGCCTCCTCCGGTTTGCAAATCTTGCCTTCAGGCCTTTCGTCTTCTTTTTTTTTTTTTTGCTTGTATATTTTTTGTTCACTCTGCTTATTTCCACAGGGAGGTTAACAAGGCTTTATGTGGATTTCTGCATCAATGTACATATCATGTGAGTGTTTCCCAAGGAATTCCACTTCAGACAGACACAAATCCTGCAGATCCTGTTCAGTCCGAGACATTGTCTACTGTAAGAACACTACTCTCCCCTCATGCCTTCGCCTTACAAGATAATTTTTTCTTACCAAGTTAAACTTCTGCTGTCCTGCATAGGGGCCTGTTCATCTTCAACCAGTTGTCATGAGCAAAGATCCAGACAGCTCTTGCCAAAAGCAGAGGTTGTGTTGTTACTACAATGAAGAGAAGATCGGTGTTGCGACAGGAAACTGGGGCTGTGGAATATTTAAAGGCGATCCCGAACTAAAGACCATGATCCAATGGCTAGCTGCTTCACAGGTGCCCTTTCTTTCTCATCATCTGTCTTCAGTAAATTATTCATTAGAAAACTAAGTCCTTCATTGTAACTTGAAACTCTCTACATTTCCAGTCGGGAAGACCCTTCCTGTCATACTACACATTTGAGCTCGAAGCATTGCAAAATCTCGATCAGGTACTACTTTGTTTTATTTGATTCTCCCTTCCAAATCCAGACCCAAGTCCCTAAAAGCTTTTAAATTCTTGATGGTCTTGTAACTTTCTTCCTCTTTGGCGACTGGTTTCTTGATACTTAACTGTAAAAGCACGCTTATTGCTTAAGCCAGGTGACTAAATGGATTGGTTCTCAAGAATGGACCGTAGGAGACCTATGGAGTAAGCTGGTGGAGTATTCTTCAGAGAAACTCAGCGAAAGAACACGAGCTGGCCTCTTCTCCTGGCTCATCCCTTCACTGTCTGCTTAAACATCAAAGTTCTATTCATCCCATGACTTTCCTGTACCTGAATTCAGAGTGTCTGTTTACCAAAAAAAAGAATTCAGAGTGTCTCAAGTTTGATTCTCTTGTTTCTGTTGAGTATGGATTCCTTGAACAAAAAAAACACACAATCTGGGTTCAGTCCCCACTTTCAGTGGAAGCATAAGCGTTGTGATAAGTTCAATGACACTGAAAGGTATGCCTTTCTACAATATCGATACCTGGATGTATCATCAGCTTGCCTTTTTTCCATTCGACTTGTTGGCACATAGAGACATCTCATTCCATAGGGTGCTTTACCATATCACTCGATCTTTGTTTTCTGTAAATAAACATCAAGTTCAATTTTAGTTGAATTCAGGAACCATGTCCTAGCCTATCTTGTAATAACTTATTGCAGGCGTTTAGATCGTCTTTATGGGGTGTTTTGATCGGTTCTTGTAGGCACTGAATAGTACAACTGGTTACGGAAAAAGGTTAACGAGTGCTTCTCTTATACATCTATTTATATTCAGAATTTGGGTTGAAGATGGATTTGATTAATCATGGTGTTGAGCTGTACAGAGGCTTCAAAGAAGACACGTCGGGTTGACTTTGACCTCCTCCTGTTTCTCGAGCTGCAAGAAAGAATGCAAAAACTATTCTTTCTAGATAAAGACAGCACATGAAATCATAACAGGTGTATTATGTGTGTATATATGTAAACTCTGTGCTATCGTGCGCCATTGTTGACTTCATTATCATTCACAGAACTTCACCTGAGGCAACGAGACAATGGAGAAAAGGGAAGATCTGATGTCAATATTACCGTACCTGCCATTGGGGATTCAATCGTCGTCTCTGTCATGGCCGTTTCCCCATGTGGTGGAGGTTCTAGAAGCAATGTCCAAAGGACCGAGTCACAGCAGACTCGACTCGGGAGAAGCTCTGTCTGATGCCATTTCCGCCATGAGACAAGCTCTCTCTTTGACAACTCCTGTTTCGCCTTCAGCCCTTCAAGGCTACGCTCTCTTCTTCGACGAGGTCACACAGTCAAACACCATGTTTTTCAGTTCTTGTTTCTCTGTCTTTCTCAGACTGATCTTTGCCATACAAATCTGATAAATTCTTGATTGTTGCAGAGAATGTCAAGAGAAGAATCGAATTCTTGGTTTGACAACACCATCCCTGCAATGGCTTGTCTTCTCCTGCGATTCCCATCTCTCTTAGAACTACACTATCTGAATTCAGATAATCTCATCGATGGAACCCAAACTGGTCTTCGATTATTAAGACCTCAAGAAGCCGGTATCGTGTTCCTCAGCCAGGTACCCAAATCTAGACAGCTCTTCAGCTAAATGTTCTGCACTATCCACATTGTCAGACCAAGAACGAGGATGTCTCAAGTGTGTAGTTACTGATTATGGCTTTGGCAGGAACTGATAGGAGCTCTGCTTACATGTTCTTTCTTCTGTTTGTTTCCTGTAACCAACCGCGGATCAAATCGTCTTCCGATCGCTTTATGTGAGGCTTTACAGGTATGGAGCTTCATTCCAATTTTCTGGTGATTATGTGGACAAGAAGGAACTGGACATTTTCAGAAGGCGAAAAACGAGAGTCATAGCGATAGATGCAATGCCTCGTACTGGAACGAGACAATACAAACCTGAAGGCCTCCTCCGGTTTGCAAATCTTGCCTTCAGGCCTTTCGTCTTCTTTTTTTTTTTTTTTTT